TACATAATAGATCTAGCAGCTGCTTTATAACACACACACACCCTACATAATACTTATCAGATCTAGCAGCTACTCTTTAGCACCCCTCTCTTATATTCACTAAATCTACACCTAATTCCCAGCAACACACCCCTACCTGTCTTACTTCGCCCATAACAGCTATTGGAGTCTCTCCTGTTGCTGCAGCCACTTTGTGTTCCACCAGGTAAAACATGTACTCGTCATATAGAAGTCGAATCAAATGGAAAGAACCAAAACTTGCAGCACTTCGTAGAGTCAAATCTCTTATCACCATTGAGCTGAAATAATGAATCGAAGCAAAAAGATGAAACAAAATATTCATCAATATTTCAGATTGACACAAGCCTATCTCTACGAAAATAATATTTTATGCTGGTAGCTTATTTTCCTTTCTTTTATTGAAATCCTGTATTCAATGGAGTCTGAAGTGTTCTCTCTAATATTTCTGCTCCTACATAAAAATTGTCAAAATAAATTGCGACATAGGATGTAGCACATCTCTGAGAAGATTTTGTGAGCTTTATTCTGGACATATTGTATAATATAATTTCTACCACAATACTCTGTGTTATTCCATTCTCAAATCATTGTATAAACATGCAGACTGAGTTATACACCACACTTGGTATATGACCTTCCAGAGATTTGATTGGTTGAGAAGATGAACTTTGACCGGGATAACTTTTTCCACACGCTTTTTGCCACATGCTGTTTATTTAACGTCGTCTGCTGTCAACATCCGGCAAATGTTGGTGACTGTGTGAGGTTATGCGATGGGGAAAATGGGGTTATTAAGGCAATATTAAAAGAAGATGATATTTGAAGATTTGATCGCTAGTTTCAGACAAAATTGCTACAGACGCTCGATATCGTTTTGACGTCACACCATCACATGTCCAGGTCGTGAAATCAGAACAAGATCCGTTACTGTGTCGGGAAATATTTCGTTCTCCCAACGCCCCGTTATCGTATTTTGAGGGTCTGACTATTGCTGAACTTTCACTATAAACATCAACCATAGAACCGTCACGTCCCAGGCCTATGGTTTTGGACATTGACAGCGATTAGTTCGTCTTCATCACTTGGCAGGTGGCAGATTTCGTACGATATGCGTAGGCGCATATAGTCTGCGGTCAATTCATATATATGTATGCAATACTGCATAATCTCAATACTTAAAGACGTTCATCTACTATATTTTTTTCATGAAGTTGTTGCAAAAAACATTTATTTTGACAATTATTAAATTTGTAAAAAAAAAAGTCATTTTTGAATATTAATGAGTGACTTTTTACATATGGGTCATATCACTACGCCAGTCTTGTCAACAAACACATGTGTGTATGTTATTCAAATCAGGTCACACTCTAGCTGTTTCCGACTGAGATTGTGGTAGAAACATATCACACGACTCATGGTTGTTGAGTATGGTATTTATTTCACTTTCGTTAGTTATTTTCAAAAGTTGCAGAAAGACACTCGCTAAAGCTCATGTCTTTTGTAACTTTTGAAAATTAACTAACTTGAGTGAAATAAATACCATATTCAACAACCGCTCGTTGTGTAACCTCTATAAGTATAATGTTATATAACTGTTTAGTGTGGAAAGACCCAAGAGAGACTTAAGACTGATCTTAATCATGCATCAGGGAAAGGAATTTGTGAAAAGGAAAAGCTCTTGAATTCTTGAAATTACAAACCTATAGAAAGACCATTTCAATAAAAATTGCCGGGCAGCCTTTGGAAAATTGTCGCTGCCTTCATGTGGTTTTAACACTTGGTTGACAACCTCCTCCAGCCACTGGGCCCAATCTTCCAGAGAATTCTGACACTCGAGAGTCTTCTTGAAATCCTCCTGGAGCTGCTGTACCACACTGTCGTCACACTGACAAACCCAGGAAGCCTGCTCCTGTTAACAAAGGGAGGTAAGTCACAATCAGTTACAAGTCAGTGGTTTGGTTTTATTTTGTTTAACATCCTATTAACAGCTACGGTCATTTAAGGACAAGCCTACAAGTCAATTGACCAAATGTACTGAAGGAAGATGTTCTCAATCAGGTACACAAACAGTTACACTGAACAGAATGTCTGAACATGTAATTTTCCTTTTCAGTTATGGATACTTAAAGCATTGCTTATATATATATGCAAACTGGTACAACTCATTTCAGAAAAGTGCCAACTANACGGCATAAGCTCACTTGGCACTTCGTGCCAGGTGAGCTAATAATTCAAAACTTGAGCCAAGGATGAATATTTTCATTTCTCTCTTTATCCCAAGCCAAGTAACAATAAGCAAAACAAATTTGTAGCGAATTTTGTCTGTAAACAAAGGGAGGCAAATCACTAACCTCTCTGATCAATGCTACTTGTTAAAAGTATAAAGCTAAGGGAAGCAATTTATCCTTCAATTGGATTCTCCCTACAACCTAGTGTACATCGAGTTGACTTTTTCATTCTTACCAATCACTTGAACCAGTGATGGTATTCAATCTTAATTCATTACCTGCACATTAGCGAAGTCTACCCTGTTGAGATCTGTGAGCATCTGGTTTATTTGTGAGGTGTTCTGAAGCACTGCACGCGCTGCCTGGGCGAGATGGTTTAGAGACGTATATCTCCGTAAGGTCTGAGCAAAAGCACTCACAGCACCAACCTGACAGAACAATACAGGTTGATTGGGTAATTTGATATTATGACAACATCAGCATAAATCTAACAAAAAGTGCAATAATTATACGCATGTAGCTTAAGAGGAGCAATAACACTACAAAATTACTTTATTTATTTTTGAATTCCTCTTAAAACTTTAACATTCCCTATTTATGAGTTCGTATGAAAGGACCTTTTAAGTTGCTATTACTGTCTAGTCTCCCTCTGTCTTTTATAAGTCTTTGATAACAAACCTTGCACTTGGCGGGATAAGGGTCAAGTTGCTATTAATGTCTAATCTCCCTCTGTCGTTTATAAGTCTTTGATAACAAACCTTGCACTTAGGGATAAGGGTTAAGTTGCTATCACTGTCTAATCTCCCTCTGTCCTTTATAAGTCTTTGATAACAAACCTTGCACTTGGCGGGATAAGGGTTAAGTTGCTATCACTGTCTAATCTCCCTCTGTCTTTGATAACAAACCTTGCACTTGAGCATGTCTTCTGGAACTCCCACCATAGCTCCTTTGAGCCAATTTTCTAAACTCTTCGCAAAATTTCTAATAGCCTGTGTAAGGGAACCTGCAAATGAAAAAGACGAGTCATCCAATGAAACAATGTACACAGACATTTATATATAATTCCAACTTCATGGTCTGAGCTTAAAAGGTATGGGGCACCTGCCTGACCATGCGAGTTTTCTCCGGGTACTCCAGTTACCTCCCATGTTAGGACTCCAATGTGCTAACATCCAAGCCAACAAGAGTCATTAATATAAGTTTAAATAGCTTATTTCATAATTGTTGTAACATGAACAACTTACAAGAGTTACCAAGAAACTCTCGTCGTTTGTTTATATGTACATCCAACTTCATGAAAAGCAATCTCTATCAATTGGTATACACAAAAAATATTATGATAGGGTCAAGTTCCTTTTTCAATTTATATCACATAAATGTAATTTATATATCAAACTTCATGAAAAGCAATCTCTATCAATTGGTATACACAAAAAATATTAAGATAGGGTCAAGTTCCTTTTTCAATTCATATCACATAAATGTAATTTATATATCAAACTTCATGAAAAGCAATCTCTATCAATTGGTATACACATAAAATATTTAGATAGGGTCATAAATGTAATTTAAGTTTATGAACGGAGAATAAAACTCACTTGGGATAGGTCTAAGCACATCTGGAATCAGCACTTCAACTAAAGCTTGGTAGAATGCGTAGTCAGCCTTCCGCACATACTCCTGTACAGGGCCATATTTACTAACTGCATATAATTTTTCTTTTGGCAGACGCTTTTCGTAATCATTGTCAGCTCTGAAGGAAAATAGAGAAACGATTAAAAATATTTCTTGGGTATTATCATATTTCATTTGATTCTATGTGCAGATTGACAAACAGTTTCTTTTTGAGAGTTAGGATGCAGACAAACCGGACAGAATCACTTACGTTAATTGGTCTGCTGGTTGATTCCGCCAGAAACCTTGCCATAAAGCTTCTATCAGGGAAAACTGTAAGTTTACTACTACATCAACTATAGCCTGTAAAAACAAAACAAAAATACTTTTACTGATTTGGACATGTATGAAAGATTTAAAGCCATCATTCTCATTTTCAAACTTTTTTGTTGTTGTAATATATACCCTTCGACATGATTTCTCTTAAAGAAAATTCCTAGATAAAAACATCTTTGCTCTTAGTTTAATGAATCTAACCTTAGCATTGCCCTGTATATAATCCTACTTAGCAACTCCTTATTGCAATAAATGATATTTTTATTTTCTGGGCGCTTTTGCTATAAAGGTTGATAACAATTTCCTTTCTTTTAAATTATGAGCTTTACCTCTGCATGTTCTGTATACATCTTGTCAAAAGCATGCACATGGTCGACTGTAACCCCCTCAGGTAAAGGCAATGAGGTGTCAATGTCCCCAAAGTTTGGGAGGGCTCCCGAGGCATCCCCGAGGAACTGTTGGTGTTGCTGCTGCTGGGCAGTGGCTGCATCAGGGGGAGCATGGTGACCTCCCTCCACACCATCCTCCATCTTAAACCTGACAAACATTTTTTTCTCTCATTAAATACCAATTCTTTTATCACCATAAAACATATGGCCAACTACAAGACTTGAGCATGTGGCAAAAAAGAAAACACTTCAGGATTATATTTTTCCTTATTGCTCGAATTCTGAAACCATTATTGTCTTTTCCACAGTTATCTGTCAAAAATTTGGTGTAGATTTACTTACTTTTTGCCCTGATACATTGGTTGTTGCCTCATTGCCATCGTTTGGTCGTCTGTAAACTGGTTCAGTGGAGAGTTAGCTTTGATACGGATACCATAGTAATGGTACTTTGAATTACCCCTAAAACAAACAATAACATAAATATATCAATTTGATCAACACTTGCTACCCCTTCTCTTTATTTTCAGTTTCCTTGAACGTTAAACAGATTTTTCCAATGTGAGATGGAATTCAATCGAAGAAAGCAAAATACAAACTTCATGCTGAACAGTCCTTACGATACTAACCGAGTCCCTAATCTTCTTGTTCGTAGACCTAAAAACACTGATCGGATGAGCTTTCCAAATGAAGCGGGGTTCATTGGGTCTAGATTTTGCTCCTGGCAGTGCCGTAAATAATGGTTGTACAGTGTGCTTCTCGGTAGACTCACACCTTCTGCTGTCTCGTAATTGTCGATCAGCCACTGAACCTAAAAAGATGAAGCACAACATTGAATATCTGTCAGCTTTTCTTCTTTTAAATTCATGCAATCTCAGACCTGTAATGAAAAAATCTTATAAAATCAAGGAATGCATGAAAAAGATAATGAAAATCTCGTTGACCTCTTATATATAACATGACATTCTCTTTAAATACTTGCAGTGATTACAGAGAATTATTTGTTTCTAAATCAGATATTTCATTTATTTAAAAATTCAATGTTTCAGTGTGTATTGCAAATGAAGAGGTTCTAAGAAAATGGCTAGAGTAACAATAAAAAGATGAAAAAACAGCTCTAAAAATTGTTAGTCATTTAAGTGATCAATTTTGTAAGAATAATTCAACACACTAGAAAAATATAGTCAGTAGTCACCTTGTTATGAATATGTTTTTGTTAAATCATAGTCTGTCATAGACACTCCTTAAAAAAACTAATGCTAGTATGATTATATCCGAACCTCTTCAGTTGCAATAAATGGATTAAAATATGGCAGTAAATGTCCCTTGAATTTTGATCAATATATCCCAATCCCACCAAATCTTGTACAGTGTATGATCAATATATCCCAATCCCACCAAATCTTGTACAGTGTATGTCATACCCCCCCCCCACCCCCCCGGCCTTAATTCAGAACGAAAAAGAATTTTATTCGACAGATCAAAATTCATGACATTTACTGCATTTGTTACATGCAAAGAAAACTACTTCGCTCAGAAGCAGTGAGTAAAAATCCACGTACAGCACTTACAGTAGCAGGTGAGGCCCGGGTTGTGTGAGTCAAGGGCGTGCCCTCTCCATCCATGGTTCCCCCTTGTATGAGGTAGGTGCCACTCTGATGCTGCAGTATCTGGCCCTGAACAGTTTGTACAGTACCAACCTGGGCTAGTCCTGTCGCAGCCACCTGACACAACATCGGGAACATGCATTCAAATCTAACACATAGCTCGACTACTCTGACCCAGCGCTCATGCTGTCACAAACAGGTAAAGCCACAATAAATAGCACAAACATCAAACAGCTTTTAAGAGAGCACTTTCTTAGCCAAACAAAAAATCTGTATTGATATCTGCGTTACTTGGCTAAACAATTTGAGAGGGTCAGTATGAGCTCTGAGAGAAAAGAAAGATTTTGGTAACACAAAGAAGGAGATTTATCTTATAAGATATACTGTATAATACTGCTGACAGAATAATTGGCATTTATTTTGAAAACAGGGACAAACATGCGAACAGGACACCACACAAAGACAATGTTCTTTTCAAGACAGAAATACCACTTGAAATCTTTCATGCAGAAAAAAAATTCATCGATTCTAATGCTCCGATTTATTCTGTCTGCGATGTGAAGATTCCTTGGCTGAAGGGGCTGACTGGATTGACCTACCTGTGCCCCTCCGGATGTCTGGTAGTATGTACCAGAAACAGGCGTATACATAGTCTGGCCGTAGTCTGTTTGGTATGTCGTTTGCCTGTAATAGGGAGAAATAAACATAACAATGAAATTTGTCATAGTTCAACCACATTTCAAATTCATCTACTTTCTTCAATTATTGACAACTGTTTTCAAATTTAGAAAATTTATCTTCAATGAAAGGACAGTATTTTTTTCTCAATAGCATCTTTTTCAAATTGGTAGATCCAACCTTAATTTCACTTTATAACAAATTTTCTTTTTAAATTCATGTATAGCATTTATTTTTAACTTTTTTCCCCATTCATAAATCATTTTTTGCTAGTGAAAATCAACATAAATCAAAATTGAAAATTGAAATAAAAATACACATAACATTCATTCAAAGTAAACACATGCAGGCAAATAACTACATAGACAACGGTATTAAATCTTCTCGGACAGTAACAAAATCTAAATGTTAGAAAAAAAAAAGAAAAAAAAAATTGGCAAAGAACTCAACAACAGAAAATCAGCACTATTTTTTACCATGGCCTGTTCACCATTTGTACTCTGCAGAAAATTAAAAAGCATTTGAACCAAATTAATTTCGGCTCAAAGAGTCATTCCTTTAATTGATTTTTTTCCAATTTCCAAACACAAATCGAAATAATCTAATGGTAAATGTCATTTCCCCCCAACCCCCTGAACGTTATGAAAACTACACAATATCTTACATCCTAACATTTTTTACCTTAGATATTATATTCTATAAATCACATTTTTAACATTATTTGTTTTGATTTCTCCAAGAGTAATTAACAACCATATATCTATTTATATTAACACATGTACACTAGCTGGGTAGATGTATATTGTTTCAATCTCCAACTGGAACTGCATTTAAACCGAGTTGTGATAAGCAACAGATAAACTTGGAATTATTTACCTTCAGAAAAAATACAATTTTAACTTTGGGAAATTATTTTGTTTACATTATAAGACATTTATTGTAAAGAGATAGATACTGGTTCTATATTTGGTTCTTTTACGCAAAACAATGGTTCTATCTGCCGAGTGGAATACACTTAAGTGATGACAGGCAAAAGCCAACATCAACTTTAAGATGAGGGGATACAGAATTGCTTTCGAAAACATTAAATTGTAGCAGCATATGATGTGTATTACAAACGTTATGTCATAGATATAAAAATTATCCTTTCAAATTTCGACACTTGTAAGAGATTTAATGAATATTTGAATATTTATAACAGCACAAAATTGTGATATGTGCACTATATACAAACAACACAAAACATGCAAACACAGCGGTAAAATAATTACATGTCCACAATAAGTCATACACACAGACATCTTACCTTTTGGTAGATATGTAAGTATGTGATACAGTAAAGATATATATTTAAATCAGTGTTACAGAACTAGCTGTAGAGGGAAATCAAATGATAAAACTACTGTAAGATTATTCTTAAAGGAAAAAAACCAAACTAAATATGTGCAATAAAAGTGCATTCAAAAGATAAGAAGTTCTATTAATTAAGGTCAAGGCAAATGTACATCTTTCATGGCAATCTCTTATCACGAGTATTTTTGAATATTCTTTCTTCAAATTTTGTTTTGTTTTACCCCCCCAATTTCATCAAAATTAACAATGCATGTTTTCACTGTGGCCTTTATACCTACAACGTACCGGGAACAAATAGTCCTGACAATCCACTAACTTAATGAACTAAGCTGGTCAACCGTATATCATAACGAGTCGAGACACAGCGTCTCTTTTGTCTAATTTACACAGCACTACATCAATCTAATGGTTAGCCTTGGTTTCATTAATACACATAATATATAACGACAGCTGAATTGCAGAAAGGGATACAAGCAAGAATGTTTTTGATCCTTGCTTCATAAAGAATTGGTAGCATGTTTGTTGCAATTCCAAAGTAAGCAAGATCAATATTCTTTTACACAAATAAAGGGAACATGCAAATTTATCGACAATATCATTTGCTTCTTTCTCTTTTGTCACAAGTACAATCGATATTTTTTCATCATATATGAAAGGTGATCAAAATGTAGGCCTCAGAAAACATGCGATTGCAGAAAATGTCGAATACACATTTAAAGAATTAGTGCACGGGAAAGCCACTTCACACAATGAGTTCAACCCGTGCGGCACAGACCACATCACTGCACGTCGGCAACACTTTACTATATCGTAATCGTACATTTGCCCATTCGTAGATGCGTAGAGAGCAGGGTCATTGCTGTCTACGTACTGAACATGCGTTGGATAAACTGTCTGTCCTCCTTGCTGAAGGGTCACCGTGTCCTGTCCATGGTTTTGTTCATTTAGCTGTTGATCTGCAACAGAGGCTTTGAAAAAATCACATGCATTTGTATGTACATACAATAACATATAAACTCGTCAGTGATTTTGCTAGGTTGTCTTATTAACAATTTGTGATATTATCTTTAAATTGCTTTCAAGAAATTTTGATAGTACATATATAAATGATTTTTAAGTAACATTCTATGAATGATTTTTTAAAGAAACATTTTTTTCTCGTCCTTAATCATAAACATTCAATGCTGGAATAAATGAAATACTGCATTTCTTATTTGATATTTGAAAATAGACAGGGAACTTACTGGTAACAATAAACTGCTGAGTAGTGTGTGCCTGGGATGGTTGAATTATCGTCGTAGTTTGAGACTTCTGGCCTTGAGAATGTATAGTCTGGCCACCAGGTTGGGTCTTCTACAAACAAATAAAGCAAAAGTATTCACTGATAGTAAGTATTGAAGTTTATATCAACTTTCTGATTTAGTTTCAATGTCTGCAATGAATTTAAACACCATCTGACAGGATGTTTATAAATACCTGTTGGACATTTAGCAGTGTAGTTGGATTCATTGCCTGAAGGTCAGTAACATAAGTCTGGGTTGCCATTGTTCAGCTGCCCCAGGACTAAAAAGAAACAAAACAATGTATATAAGTTATGGTGAATTAAATGTATCGTCTGATTTGCAGTGCAATTTTCTTTCGAGATTTGATGGGTCAACTAAGGCATACAATTTTACCAGCCTGACAACCGGAGCTAATAGATTTTATCATGTCATGGCTAGTGAAAATGTTCAATATAACATATGAAATTAAGGTTGGGATAATGGAATTTTTCAACATCAGCCTCCATACTAGTACACTCTAAATATGAAATTGTAAAACAGCCCTTGTAAATGATGTTTTAATTTTGTTGTATTTTGTTTTTGAGAGTTAATTCACAATAGTATTTATTTACCTGTAATTTTGTTATAATTTCAATTTAAGTTATATCCATTTTACCGGAGTCGTATCTGCTCATATGCAATTCATTTTTTTTAATAATCACAGGATTTTTAATTGTTTTTGCCGATATGATCAGTTCCTGGTTGTTTCGCCCTAAAACATTTTTGTTTAGGGCGAACAATGTTTTATTGTTTGGTATTTTTTTTTCATTTTTATTTGTTTTAAGTCACATATTAAGTCTTCTTAGCATTAAAATCAGTTTATTAAAAGAAAATGTGTTGTGTTTTTTTTTAAGTACATTGTAAAGCAAAAAACAGATTACATTATTTTCTTCACACCGACACACATATATTGAATTTAATTTTAGAAATAAATAAGAATAGTGAAATGGTGTCATTTTAATTACATTGCGGGGTATACAACAATATTATTTTCCCATGTTAACACATTTAGTCTAGTGTATTCATAATCGTCACTGTGTAACGATGTCTTCTTTACTTGATTTCTGCGCACGTCCGTTGTTGTTTTTTGCTAATTGGAGGAGATCGTTTTGAGAAGTTTTGATAGTACCGACCAATAAAAATTAATATGCATATTTGAGCAGATAAATTTGAGTAGATAACTTGTCATAAATAGGGCATTTCTCAATACTGTGTTATAAATCAACATTTCGTTATGGATGATTTGTGCATTTTGTGCGACTCCGTTGGTTAGACGCGGACAGCATGGTATCTCATGTGATGTGTGTGACCGTCGGCAGCATAGAACCTGCCAGACTGGTAATTACATTATTATACAAGTATATTTAATGTATTTTGATAATTCCCTAAGTATATTGCCAACGTCAACGTTTATTTCATAATTAAAATGTACACATCTGCTTAACATTTTTTTTATATGTACTTGGGCAATTATTTACATTTCGTATACATCTCTAGAGAAAGTTATATTTTTTTTCCATTTTTTATACGTAATTAATATACGTATCTATGTACTTAGAGTAATTAATCTAGTTTCAGTCTATATATGCAATTTGTAACTAATCTATGTCCATTTCATATACGTATCTATGTACTTAGAGAAATTTGTTTGATATAAAGTGGCTGACGTAACAGGGTGCTTTTTAATTGTTTATATCATGTTAGAAGTTGTATAAATTAAGTACAACTATTTTACATGTTTTAACGTTAAAACATGTACAGGTGCATTTTATAAAGAACAACATTACTTAATTAAGGTAATGAAATGGAAAGATAAGTTTTTTAACATGATATTTATGACTTAAAGAAAGAAATACTTTTTTAGGGCAAAACAACATGGGGTGAACGGGATTTGGGGCGAAACAACCCGTTACCATATGATCATATGCTCTTATTGCCTACACTTATATAATTAACCACGCATTTTAATAGTTGTCTCTGAAAATACTAAACACATACTTAACCCTAAGTTGTACTTTATACCTCTTAGTGGAATGATAATCATACAACCATATATATAGTTCATTGTAAATACTGATTTTTTTTACCAGCTCGGACATATATCTGCAATCCCTAGGTGTCGGGTTTGTGGAATTGTACAACCCTACTACATTCCAGCTGTAGCATTTTATTGGTAAAACCTTGATCTTCTGTAGTTGATAGTTATTAGGTTCCTTGTTTTTAAGGTTCGATTGATGCTGATGTTCTTTCCATCATTACAGGAATAGGTCTGCAGTAACTTGTTGATTTGATTTCGACCTGGTCAGTAATTTTTTTTGAGACTGCTTGGCATGGCTTATTCAATATCCTCAAAAAAATATAAATGACCGACCCCAGTTTTTACCTCTGACCCTAACAATTTTATCTCATTTGAACGCACTCCATCAAGCGTTAAGATAACTTTGCCACTGGATGCAAAATAACTGATGGACAAACAAACATGGCAACTAAAGCTATATATACCCTCTTCACTTCTTAGGCAGGAATCAAAACCAAATTTAAATCACATATTATTTCAAAGACCTAAAAATGTTTGGTAATTTTTTTGTAATTAGCCCCCTCCCAATTTTAAAAATCTGAACTGACCTACCCTACTTATTTAACATTTTAACCGAAACATCCATATTTTGTTGGCATTTATAAACCAAAAAATTCTGCTTTGTCCAAGAGATGAATTTTCACACTATTATTTATCTAGATACCAAGTGGTTGAGCAGACTTCATTTGTTGGTGATTACATATATATATATATGTTATTGTAGATTTTCTATAACATCACTATTTTTAAGTCTTATTTGTCAAGAAATTTTAGAGATTTTTTAATGAATCATTCTTCGCTAAGAGATATGATGCCTTTACACAAATACCTAATCTTATATACCAATCACATATATATATAATAATTTATCTTTAGATTTTGTATCATTTTTCTGCAGTCTGTTTTTCCCTTACTTATTTCTTTGTTTTGTTTGTGTTTTATGTCCTATGAACAGCTATGACCAGTGAAGGACGTACCAGGTTCTGGTGGTGGAGGAAAGCTAGAGTTCCCGGAGAAAAAACACAGACCTACAGCCAGTACCTGGTGACTGCCAAATGTAGGCCTCGAACCTGTGACCCAGTGGTGGAGGGTTAGTGGTAGCAGAATGTACGACACCTTAACCACCACCCCATACTTATTTCACTGGTCATCCTTTGTTTTAATGTCTTTTTCTTTTAAAAAATTTGACAGTTGTAAGAAACACACATTTCAAAGGAACGTTGATTCAACGTAGAATTATTTCGCCACTCCACCTTCTTATTGCTATGTACATGAAAAAGACCAAATGACAATTGAGACTGTTACTTATTAATTAACTAGGAAAGTTGTAACAATAATCAGCAGTCAATATAGCTTAATACAGTTTAAGTGTCAAGAAAAATATTATCAATTGAAAACTGTATACATAAAAGTACTTCTTTGCATTGAATGACAGTTTATTGGGCCGTTTTCACACAAGTGTCCCGTTTAGGGTACTGTCCTGATTTGGGTACAGTGACAGGGCGCCTCAGTGACGGTAGAATCTGCATTTTTATCCTAAAAATATCCTCACGCTGTAGCATTTATACTACAAGATCTTAAAAGAATCATCACATCTTATAGTGTTAATATTATCAATGAAAATGCACATAAGTATTAATATCGAGAAACTTATTTGATCACAAATAGAATAAGTTTTTCTTTCAAAAACAGTCATTAATTTTCTGTATTGATCTGTTGTACCACTGTCCAGTGACCACAAGTCCAGCAAAAAAAAAAGGAACTCACAGCTATTTCAGTGTATAAAAAATATATGTGAAAATGACTAAAACTAGACATTTTTAATGTATATTTTGTTGATAAAATCAAAAAGAATAGTAATATATTGCAGTACGAGAATGATTTTATTGATATTTTCTTCAGAAAGAACTGGTTGCTAGGGATTTTTTTTCCTCAAAATATTTTTGATGATAACACTGAAATCTCACATTTTAAATGTCAACTAAATAATCCATACATAACTATGTTAGCAATGGAAATGCAAATAAAATTCCTATCAAACTGAAAAATAAAATGTTCATGTTCAGTCATGTTATATCAATAAATCCTTGCCTGCACATGGTCAAATACTTGTTATTTACACTTTTAAATATCCAAATCGATCTATTTTCATCAAAATCAAACAAATGAAGCACCAGTGATCCGTTATCAACTATATAAATGTCTGTAACTACGTTATCTTTCCCTTCTTCGCTGTTACTTAGCAACCTCTCGCTGTCCCATAGTAGCAACCACACATCCATGGCATTTCGACTGCCCTAAATAACGACCCGCATGGTACACCCCAACCCAATTTATCATGCAATGCATTCGTCAAGATCTCAAACCACTTCAAAATCAAAACAATACATAATTTAGTTCAACATCACTTCCACAGCCACGTGATGGATGCTGATGAATTCAAAAAAGCCGCCTTTTGTCCAAAAAATTACAACAAATAACTTGAAACACATCAACATTCGCCATTTTAGAAGCATATTTGACGATAAACAACAGACAACGTATTAGATTTAAAAGACATTTTGAGCCAAATCTACATAATTCAATTCACCAGAACACGTATCATCAACACATGAAGATGTGACTACACTAACTGACCAAATGAAAAGAAAAATCACCTTAGGTTGTTGGCGGGTAACAGTCGTCACAGCTACGGTGTCTATGGCGTTTATTCCTACGGCAACTGTTGCCAGACTCTTCGCGTCAGCAATTGCCTCGATTCCTACGCACATTTTTTCCGGAACTACGTTTTAACATATCGAATAGACCTTTATTTTATCTAACAATTTCAAATATATCAATATAAACCTATTTAGAATTATAATTTTTAATTTATGTGAATGCAAAATAATTACATAAATAGATATACGTATAATTTGCGTGCACTATTTATGTTCTCGTAGTTTCCGGTATGGGGCTATGCGGTCTGCGCTTCGATTATGAAGATGAAAGACAACATGGCGGATCCCGGTAGAATGTCTATGGCGTCTTGACAACTGCGGCATGCGTTAAATTTCATCGATTAATTATTAACCAAGTAACTTCTTTGATTAAACATATTTATATGAACACTGCTTATTTGTTTATGAAAAAATGTAATTATGTCATCTGACATATCAAAGACAGTGAAATATCGAAGCGAAACAAGGAGAAATCATGGTCATTAATTGGGGCCCTCGGAGGGAGTCTTTGAAAAGAGGTCACATACTTTTGTAACTAGAAAATTGTGACTGCATGCAGAGCCCAAGTGCTCTTCGGAGAAAATGATTCATATTTTTTTTGTATTAAGCATTATATCCATGTTTTTAGATCAATAAAAATGTAACAATTTATACATGCGACTTTTAATTATACTACCATGCCTTATTTTGGGTATAATTTATTACATTGACTTAGTTCAATATAATTAAAACTATTGCATATTGTCTTTGAATTATTTTTTGGATTGGTCTCTGCCTCATTAAGTTTAATTATGGCTAAATTATTTAATTAAGATTTATCTGAATAACTTATCCTAATTGAAAACATTATAAATCAATAGCTAGCTTAAATTAAAATAATGATTAAGTATTGTTATAAAAATGTAATATGCAGTTGTGTGGAACAGGTGGCATAGCAATTTTTTCAAAATAATTCTCAGAAATGAAAGGATTAATTTTTCAGGATTTTCTTTCAAAGATGGGCCAAATTTTGGAGAAAAAAAGCATTTGAATGATGGCGTGTATACCCAAGGTATATTAAGGTTAACCATAGGCCTAAATTAACTTTAGGTTTCTGGGTTAACCTTCATCAAGCTTCCCAAGAATTTATTTTCTTCACAGAGACATTGCCTTTTCACAACAGGTGTATAACATTAACCCCAATCATATAAATTTCTTTCTAGGGCAGGTTGTTTATGTGAAAGGTTTAATTAAGATGTTTGCAGATGACATTTTTTTAAGTAAAACTGGGGGATCTCATTAATATAAGCCATGCAACATTAGGCATGTGCAAATAGTTTTGTGTCAATTTAGTCCAATTAGTCTCAACCTCTGGACAAAGTGTCATTTTTTTTAAACTAGGGCAGCTGGAACTCTGCATATAAATATATTTGGACACAAGACATGATTTCAGTGCACTCATTGACACTCCACCATCCCAATATGTATACTTGCATACAAGTTTTAGTGATTCCAGGTATGAGGTATTATTGCTTGCCCAGTACATCTAATTTGATCATCATTGAACCATCTTTGCATATTAAGCAGGCCGCAAGAGACCCTATTTCAGTATGTAACTGTCATGCTATTCCAAGGGATACTCCCATGCAAACATATATAGTGACAATATAAATTAAGAAATCAGATATTCCAACATTCCACAAGCACAAATATTTATGAGTTTTTCCTTACGAATTCAGCCCACTAGAAATAATTTTCTACCCTGTCTATCAGCAACATGTTTGCATCCTATACCTTTATACAACATTTGATCCCATGTTACGACACAGGGTCACTAAGAGGATGGACCAAATATTGTAGCACAAGTGTATAACTTTGTCATATATACCCAGAAATTGAAAACAGTACATATATATATATTGTATATCACTCGGGTGAAAGGGTGGGGACGCCTCAATTATGTTTTATGTTAAGTCCCGAGAACTTTTAATTCAGGGGCAGGCAGGACCTGACGGGCATTTGATTATGATAGCTGATGATCCAGTATCTTCATGCCCAGTATTGTATATATGGCATAGGGTGGAGATCTTAACTGTTTCCATTACTTTAACAACGAAGGGATTTTTTTTTAAGTCTCCAGGGGCTCGAGTCAACCCTTAAAGCATGATAATATACATTTGTAACAGGAAAGAGAATAGTGTGCTTCCACCGGGGATCGAACCCTCGATTTCTCCAGGTTCCTAGTCGGACGCTCTACCACCGAGATAAAGGGAAATTCCCTCTAGCTCGATGCTAGAGGGCGACCTTAATCATATGTACAATCAAAACCTGCCACACATCATTTCTTCATGTCCATGAACTGTACACAACTATATCGCAGGAATCTCAACAACTTTAGTGTTGGTATTCATCTCTTCAATGACCAGCAATTGTTTATATAGTTACAGGGATCACAACCATGCATTTCCATGTTATGACCATGCAAGGGACTTTATCCCATGGGATGGAGATAGTCACCTAAGAAAGGGTCTATCTTTGTAGCAATCCTTTGGACCTGGTGAGATAATGTAATAAATAATCATTTTACCTGGTAATGTTTAAAAAAAAGTCTTATTTGTTGGTAAATTCTATACAAGATTCTGTTGACTGGCAACCAGTGTTACACATTATTCTTATGTCTGGTCTGAGTGAGTGAATAATTTTAAAATCCAACATCTCCTGAAGCACCATGCAGTGCCTCAATTATTGTCCTCGAGCTAACTCAGCAGGTCCCTCAGTTATTCATGTGTGTCTGACAGTATTGTTCAATCTGTGTATCAGATGTGGTCATGCATGTGATTTCTTGTTGTGCACATAAAACTGACATAATGGATGTGATACTTTTAGTGTTTATTTTAATGCTTACTATATTTGTGTTTTTATTTAACAGCAATATAAAAACTGCAAATGGTACCTTTAAAATATTGTACAGATACATTTTTTATTTTATTTTTATACTCCAGATGACTTTTGAATTTGGGGGACTCTACCTGGATATCATGTGCTAATGAATTATGTTCTCAATTTAGGACCCGACCTTCAGGTGTAATATGTAACTGTGCTGTACTCTAGTTCGTGTGGTTGATGCAGAAATTGTAAATCCTTTTCCTAACAAAACCTTGGCTAAGGACTTGGGACATTACTCATTGATTGAACTTCACAAAGCTAAGGTGACTGCTGTAAACACCAAATACACAATATATGACACCACAACACCTCTATACAGGTACAAGTACAATGAAATACCTTATACCATTCTTACATGTAAAATATATTAGCTTTTCAAGTCGGCCTGTGTTTTGTCTCGTATGTTGTACAGGTATAGATATGGTTACTTTAGAATACACAGAAGCACATAATCTTCTGTACAGCTATAATTGATATCATTGTTATGACTCGCAGCTTACCTACATGGGATTATATCGGTCACAACTCGCTGTACACATTTATTGGATTATATCAGTCACAACTCGCTGTACACATTTATTGGATTATATCAGTCACAACTCGCTGTACACATTTATTGGATTATATCAGTCACAACTCGCTGTACACATTTATTGGATTATATCAGTCACAACTCGCTGTACACATTTATTGGATTATATCAGTCACAACTCGCTGTACACATTTATTGGATTATATCAGTCACAACTCGCTGTACACATTTATTGGATTATATCAGTCACAACTCGCTGTACACATTTATTGGATTATATCAGTCACAACTCGCTGTTGCATTCACGAAATCATCACAACTCTCTGCTTGCCTTCACGGGGTTGCAACATTTACACAGCTCACTACACACCATCATGGAGTTGCAACATTTACACAGCTCACTACACACCATCATGGAGTTGCATCATTGACGTGGCTCACTACACACCATCATGGAGTTGCATCATTGGCATGGCTCACTACACACCATCATGGAGTTGCATCATTGGCATGGCTCACTACACACCATCATGGAGTTGCATCATTGACATGGCTCACTGCACACCATCATGGAGTTGCATCATTGGCATGGCTCACTACACACCATCATGGAGTTGCATCATTGGCATGGCTCACTACACACCATCTTGGGGATCATTGTTATGGCTCACTGCACAACATCTTTGGGGGGGGGGGGATCATTGTCATGGTTCACTGTACACCATCAGGGATTTTTCATGGCTCATTTTCATGACTCTGCACAGAATCATGGGGATGAATCATTGTCATGGCTCACTGCACACCATCAAGTAGTTGGATCATTTTCATGGCTCACTGCACACCATTATGAGGATACATCATCAGCATGGCTCTCTGCTTGCCTTCATCAGATTTTATCATTGTCACGACTCGCTGCACAAAAATTATGGGATTTCATCATTGGCATAGCTCAATGCACAGTTTCATGGGATTTCATCATTCTTGTGGTTCACTACTCACTATTATGGGATTTCATTCTTGTGGTTCACTACTCACTATTATGGGATTATATCATTCTTCTGGTTCACTACTCACTATTATGGGATTTCATCATTGTCATGGCTCACTTTACACCTTAAGTTTTTGTATTGTTGTCTGAACTAAACGCACAACATGATGAGTTGCATGAACACCTTCATGGAATTGCATTACTGATACAACTCAAATCATGATGGGATTGTACCGTACCAACTGACACATACAAGGTTCAGTAGACTTGTACCATACTAACTGACACATACAGGGGTTCAATTAACTTGTACCATACCAAGTTACCAACTGACACATACAGGGTTCAGTTAACTTGTACCGTTACAACTGACACATACAGGGGTTCAGTTAACTTGTACCATACCAACTGACACATTCAGGGGTTCAGTAGACTTGTACCATACCAACTGACGCATACAGGGGTTCAGTTAACTTGTACCAAACCAACTGACACATACAGGGGTTCAGTAAACTTGGATCATACCAACTGACACATACAGGGGTTCAGTAGACTTGTACCATACCAACTGACACATACAGGGGTTCAGTAAATGTGTATCATACCAACTGACGCATACAGGGTTTCAGTTAACTTGTACCATACCAACTGACACATACAGGGGTTCAAATAACTTGTACCATACCAACTGACACATACAGGGGTTCAGTTAACTTGTACCATACCAACTGACACATACAGGGGTTCAGTTAACTTGTACCATACCAACTGAGGCATACAGGGGTTTAGTTAACTTGTACCATGCCAACTGACGCATACAGGGGTTCAGTTAACTTGTACCAAACCAACTGACACATACAGGGGTTCAGTAAACTTGGATCATACCAACTAACACATACAGGGGTTGTGTTTGTCAATTACATTGCCGTAATATTTTAGTTGACTATTTAAGGCAACCATCACGGAGATTAAAGTAAGTATGTACTTGGTGCATGTACTGATATACATTCCTGTATTGTCATAAGCAAGTATAGATAATTAAGTGTTCACTTTATGTACACATATTAAATGTAAATCTATTACCTTCCACTTGCACACTTATATCCCTCTTTTATAAAGAAGGAAAAAAACTCAGCAACAGATATTTGCAATTAATAACAAAATGAACGCGCATGACAATATACTACATATGTTAAAATAACGTCGATTGAATTTTGCTTAAACTTCACATATGTGTAACTTGTTAACAATGTGCATTAGATTTTTTGTATTAAAGTTTTAGACCCGACACATACCGGTACATATCTTAAAGATTCTTTTTCCAATTAACAACACATTTTCTGGACAACCAAATGACAATTGAAATAACTCATTGAATTTTTATGAATGGTTCTTTTCATGATTGTTCTTCTAGAGCATTATATATAATGTTTAGATTAGAATTTGTATAAAAAAAAAGATATATTTAGAAAAAGATATATTCATAATTTAAATGTGCCAATTTGAATCAATACTGTATTAATCATATATTAGCATTTGACACTCTTTGTCAACTTACATGAAAATATATCTCGCCAAATGTGGGGGATTATTGGATTTACATATAAGATAACTAAAAGACATGGCTTTGTATGATATAAACTAGGTTATTAACAGTTACTAGGTTTCACATTCTGTGTCCGTGATATAACTGTGAGGAGGCCATATAAACAGCAGGACCTTATAACCATACACCTTGTAATGTTTGGCTCCCAAAATAGAAGACACATGCCACCAAGTGTTGATTTATTAGGGAGTTAGCATATATACTTGCCAACTTTTTGAAATTTCCATCGGGGAGATAAGGCATGCTCAGAATTAAAAACATAAATAACATGCGTGTATGTACACCCTAGGGGAAAAACAACACTTTTAAATGGCATCTTTTGAGCTGTTCCTTCAGATGAAATCATTAGATGTTAGAATATAAGAATAGTTAAGCAAATTCACTCAATTTTAGGGTCCAAAAATAGGGAGTCTCCTTCCAAAATCAGGAGAGTTGGCAAGTATGGAGTTAGCCAACTTTAAGGTGGAGTACCAGTGCTCTTTGCTGTATCTCCAACAAAAAAGAGCTTTAATTCATTTGGCATTTTTCTGACTTGTAGTAGCTTTTCCGATTTACTATAGAAGAGAATTATAGTGGGAATTATTTCAAAATGATATTACTCCCTAAAAAAGCTGCAATCATCCATAATTATCTTTAAATGAAAATATCCTCCTCTTTGGTAGAGGAAATTACGTAATTACATCAATTTAACAGAAAGATAATTTGCTAAGTGCCTGTAAATGGAAGAGAAGTGAGGGGACTCCAAAATCTGGCCTTTTCCAACAAATGTCTAGTGATGACTTCATAATTCATGGATAATTGTATACATAACAATATCAATACCGTTAACTGTACAATAGAAGTACTACTAACAATAAATAAAACTCAGTAGAACTTACAAGATCCGTTACACTTAAGGATTCGGCTTGATAATAAATTGGTCGATCGATGTATAGACCAAAAACTGAAGTGCTTTTGGTTTGTTTGTGTTTTACGACCTATTAACAGCTATGGTCATTTAAGGACGTGCCAGGTTTTGGTGGTGGAGGAAAGCAGGTGTCCCGGAGAAAAACAACCGACCCATGGTCAATACCTGGCGACTGCCCCATGCAGGTCTCGAACCCGTGACCCAGTGGTGGAGTGCTAGTGGTTGCAGAATGTCAGAAGCCTTAACCACTTGGCCTGGCCTGTTGGCCTACGCAGCCCCGAAGAAGTTTATGTTAAGTCTATACATCGACAGAACAGTTTATTACCTGGTATCTTGTCCAATCCTTATAGTTAAATTCTTAAACTGGAAAGGCAAACTTTATTGTACAAAATATGTGTCATTTTCAATAACAAGCAAATTCGTGGAATTTATATCCCCCGCTTGAAGGACATATTGTAGGTTAACATTATTGAGGTTAGGTTTAAACATGTGAGTATCGTGCTGTTGAGACATAATGTATAGCTTAAAACTTGAAGAGAAAAAAAGCTCTATACCTCATTGATCATCCGTAAATATACACAAATCACATCGGTTGGCAAACTTAGCATGAGTTTGATGTGCATAAGAAATTTGGATGAAACATCTTAACAATATCTACAGCAACAAGTACTAATTGTAAAGGGGGACCATTACAGATGTCCCCCCAAACTGCCCCCATAGTCGCAAAGATGCATCAGAAATGGATCGCATTGCCATACAATGTACATACTAAATTTAAGTGCAGTTGAGCAAATTTCTAAATTGCAATCAATCAGAATCCTCCGTGTAGTTGCTATGGCAACGGAACGCATGCGATTGAATTTGCAGTCCCCTAATACCCCTATAAACCAATTTTCATCGAAATCAAATAATATCTAAATTGCGACCAATCAGAAGCCTCTGTGTGGTTGCAATGGTAACAAAACTTTTGCGGTTTTATTCGCAGTCCCCTAATATCCCTATATACCAATTTTCATAAAAAACAAAAAAAATCTAAACTTCGACCAAAAAGAAGCCCCCCCCCCCCCCCTTGGGGGATGAGGGGCAGTGCCCAATAGGGGAAATATAGAACATTCTTAAAAATCCTTCTTCTGTAGGAATGAAAGGATTTGTTCCATATTTGGTCTGAAGCATCCTTGCAATTTTGTATAATCCGTGGGTCTGCCCTCCTTGGAGCAGAAGGGAGGAGGGGCCCAATAGGGGAAACATAGCAAATTCTTCAAAATCCTTCGTCTTCTGTAGGAATGACGTATCCTTGCTAAATAATTCGTCGAAATAAAGATCTTTAAAAAGATAATGATCAGAATAATCAGTAATATGGACGTCTCCAACACTTTATATTTCTTTCATTTCATCTTTTTTTGGCATTAAACACTGCATATCATATATTTTAAAAAGTTTATGCACGCACTATTTAAAATAACCGGTCACCATAGTTACCATCCAGGGCACCTGTCGGCAGTAGGCATAGAACTCATTTGTAGTTTAATGTACAGCTGTTGAATATGCTGTTTGCCAGAAAATACGAAAGAATGTTGTGTATCTAGACTAGGTTGGGGTTGCTATGTCAACGAAGCATATGCGGTTGAATTTGCAGTCCCCTTATACCCCTCTATAACGATTTTCATCAAAATCGAACAATATCTGAATTTCCACCAATCAGAAGCCTTCTTGTGGTTATTATATGGTTGCTATGGCAATGAAACTAATATCCCTATATACCAATTTTCATCAAAAACGAACCAAGTTTGAAGAAAATTGGTTAACATTTGTTTTAGTTATTGCAGAAACAAAACCCAGCAGATAATTACGTTTTTCGTTATTCAAGGGGCCATAACTCCAAAATGGGGTCCGCTGAAAGTGGTCATCGAACTTGGCTGAGCCCTTAAGGCATTTAACCCGGTGACCAAGTTTGAAGAAAATCGGTTAATATTTGTTATAGTTATTGCACAGAAACAAAACCCAGCAGATAATTACGTTTTTCGTTATTCAAGGGGCCATAACTCCAAAATGGGGTCCGCTGAAAGTGGTCATCGAACTTGGCTGAGCCCTTAAGGCATTTAACCCGGTGACCAAGTTTGAAGAAAATCGGTTAATATTTGTTATAGTTATTGCACAGAAACAAAACCCAGCAGATAATTACGTTTTTCGTTATTCAAGGGGCCATAACTCCAAAATGGGGTTCGCTGAAAGTGGTCATCGAACTTGGCTGAGCCCTTAAGGCATTTAACCCGGTGACCAAGTTTGAAGAAAATCGGTTAATATTTGTTGTAGTTATTGCACGGAAACGAAGCGAAACAGACAGAGGGACGGACCCAAATTAATAATCCCCGTTTCGATGAAAGCGGGGGATAATAAACTTGGTGTTTTTTAATGAATGGCACATTGATTTTTATGTTAATCAATCAAATACCTTGTTTTAAATCCCCACTGTGCGTGCTATGACGTGCCAATCTAGTTGATCCAGGGCTTTCAACAGGCTCATTTACATGTACTCTCACAAATAATGACACTAATAAGGCCATGCATACATCTTCGCTAGTCGTCGGGAATACTTCCATGTCATCTGTTCTAAAATCGAGTACAATGCTTAAATTTCCTATGTCAAAGGACGTGGTCGTAGACGATTTTAGAAGTGTGACAGTTGACTTCATTTTTGGGAAAAAGTAGTACTTTGTGTATAATGTCATCAAAATATGTTCTCATTTTTCGGTCAATCACTGTAAATACAAACCAATGAACAAGCATATTACGAACAGTGTTAAATTATTTTCAAATATTCACAAAGATGAACAAAGAGAGAAGAAATCAATTGTAGAAAATTTAATACATGATTAATTTCAAGATGCAATGTCTGTTGTTCAATTGTCCTCCAATACAGCAACTTCACACCAAACGTCACTAATATAATTTTCCTATATTTGCAAGATTCATCGAGTCACTGCTAAGTAAAAACATACAAAGCAGTGACTCGATGAATCTGGCAAATATACATTACATTCCTGCTAATTTTCTTAATCTTTATGCAGCACCCTAAATATGAAATATATTATTTTGACTAAGGAATGATCCATTTGCAAAACTTCCTTCATTTTAAATCTACCATAGAAAACATCAATATTTCACACAAGTTTATGCATTGTTCTCACAATTGATGTAGCTTTCACTTCAAGACTTTCTTTATCAATTATCACTTGTAGCATCAGGCACATTTTAAAGCAGCACCAGCAAAAAAACTACATCACATCTGATCTTCTCGATGGATTTCGATACAGGAGATTGAGGAAAAGCACAGTTGTCCATGGTGCCTTAATGTGAGGAAACAAGAAATAGCATCCACATTTAGTTCCATTTAACACAATTTTATTTAAAGTCAAGACATCTCACTGAAAACGGCACCGTATTCTGAACTCAGTCTACATCCGTCACAAGAACCACCTATAGGTGAAAGGCTGAATACCATCTCCCCGAGTAAACTTGTCCATAGCACTTTTATACAATATCCAGAAACATAACCACAACACATAGACATACATTTCAGTTTGCCTTATCCAACATGTACTGGTGAGCAAGTACAGGCTGCAGCATCTCCGTACACACACACATTTCAAAGTCTTGTCAAGATTCAATAACTCTGCGTTAGCAGGACATTTACAAAAGTTTCAATTCATTCCTTGTAGTCCATAAATAATTTCAGCTTTCTCACACATTCTGAAGAAAGATTGAGGCTCCTGAAAATGAAAAGCAACGAGAAAATAATCTTCAATCAAATGAACGTACTTCACTTAAACAAAATGTGACAGCTAAAATCAAGATGGAACTAATACTGTTTATGATTATTGTATACCGGGAAATTTTCCCCAGTTTAATTTTCGCCTTTGTCATCCCTCTCCCAATGAGGGGAATTTATCATGACAGCGCACAGAAGTACACAACATACAATACATAGTAATTACGTGTAAATGGTGAGAAATTAACACTGGGCGAACATGGATTGTATCGATACAGGACGACTATCAATTTACTGGAAATTCTGTTTTCTTACTAAGCAATACATTTCTTTATGAGATCTTATTAAATACCTGTTTATGTAAGCTTCAATTGTTTCCATAAATATTTATATAATAGTGTATGTGGGATGTGAATGAATTATTTTTTCACTTGGACCACAATGACACTTTTATCCAAAAAATTAACCAGAAAACCTGGGCAAAACGATTCTTTTTTTGTTGTCATAAATTTATACCATCATCATATTGTTTCTATTAATGTGCTGATTTTGTGATAATACATCCAACATATAAAATTGATATCAATGTGTTATTATAACATTGATTAAAACTTTCAGCATATGATAAATGTCTTTATTCTTGATAAAAAAAACACAGGTTTTAATTGAATATGTACACAAGTACTATTCCAAAAGTTCTCAAAAGTTTAATGCAACATCAACATACTTACAATATGTGTTTTCCAAAAGTGTTGACAATTTTATACATGGAACTTTTCAGCGTTGTCTGAAGCAGATATCCCAGCTGTGTGTCATTAAATCCCAAGTCTTTTTGATTCCGGCGACTCATTGTTGTTGCCAGTTTGAAATGTTTTTCAACATTCTAAGAATTGCAAATGTTTAAAATTATCAAATTTTGTTTCAGACAAAGACCAACTCGATGTGAATAGAAAGATTTGTCTCTTAATTTTCTTAAATGTCATACATGATATCAACTCTAATAATTAGTACTCAAACAACATTCAAACAATTAAGATTTCTGTGCTGTCTAGCTATAGTGGTAAGGCACTCTAAATGATCGCTAAGAAACTTGAACCCATTACACACCCAATACCTCTGCCACATACACACACCCTCACATATATAACATATATGGAATCAGGTGGAACGATGAATAAGGCTGCTCCCACAGTCTCCTTATTGTGTGAAATATGTGTCTGTCCTTCCTTGAAAATTGATGGAATACTCTATACTGATGTTGTATAATAACAATAATAGTCGATGCATACAAAGAACTCACCTCCTGTAAATTGACAACTGCAGTTATGATTTCTGGTAAGGACCGCTGAACAACTCCATACTTGTCATCAGTATAAGAGGCTGTGGCAAAGTTGGACAAGGCTGAAAATCATCAAAAACATCTGTTATCTCTATGTTACCAGTAATGCTAACAGTTCCTCTTGTCTTACATGGAATCTAAATCAACATTTACAGTCAAGTCTTTTTAGACTAGCCACCATTAATCTAGTTGTTCAACTATATCCAGCCTCCACTTATCTGTTAATCTGTTAATCTAAAGACAGTGTTTCTCAGGGCCTGATTCTTCGTTTTTCAATTTTTACACAACACTGCCACAATCCAACTACTTCTGCCAAATTTGGAAGAAGGTGGCTGGATAGATAAGGCTCTATCACCAAGATGATAGGGTCAAGAAAACAGTTATTAGAACACATACAAAGGGAAAGGCAGACATAAAGCAGTAGAATGAAAGAGGCCAAATGGGTCTGTACCATTCACCTGTTATTCTATGCTGTTGTCAAACACGACTCACATATCTGACCTTCAAAGTGGATCAAGGTCAAATCCATTTAAACTAGAAAATTATGTTTGATATTTTAAGTTTNGGCAGCATAAAAACACTTAACATGAATATAGCCCCACCCCCCACCCACCCCCAATTTTATGACGGCTGCATAAAAACACTTAAAATGAAGAAACCTAACACTATGTGCTTAATACCATTACTTTAAACCTTATCATCCTTTTGGTGGAAGATTGTAATTTCACCTACTTGATTTTCAAAGTTGGTCAAGGTCACTCAACTCAACAAACTTGATAGTGTGTTTATGCCAGCAAGCTACTGGCCAAATGTTAATATCTAGGCTTTAAGGACCTTTAGAAGATGTTTTTTTTAAGTTTTTCCGACATTTGAGCTTTGTGTCCCAATAAGTTACTGGCCAAATAGCATGACTCTAGGCCTCTCAGAAAATGTTTAAAGCTTTTAACACACTTGACTACTGTGATCTTGAATTAAAATCAAGGTCATTAATTTGAGAAAATTTAATAACAATTTACGCCCCACCACGCTACAGACTAAACATTAAGATCCTTGACCTGTATGTTATTTATTCATGAGTTTTTAAAGAACAAAGTTGATGAGAATGAAAGATCGAAAGAAGTAAAAAGCTGACAGACACTGTGCCATGGCAAAAGCTCTGACACTGCACCTTCAGGTAGGTGAGCTATCACTGATACACTTGGAAAGTTAAGTATTATCAAGTTATAAAATCAAGTTCCCCGTTAAAGATACTAGACCAGAAAAGTATCGAAGCACAATACCAATATAAACTGCTTCTTGCTAAAATTTACATACACGTTACTATTTTTAAATACTGAGTATGATTGATCTGAACACTTTCATGTGAACACATGTTATTTACCTTCAACAGCCCAAACTTGTACTTGACACGTTGCAAAAAGCTTTCTACTTTTGGAATCGGGCAACTCTGACAAGAAATAACTGAATACTGGTTTCTTCTTTAGATACACCAGTGTCTGGAAAACATAAAAGTAATAACATATGAAACTAATGTATGAAAATCATAAACATAGCTCTCTTAAACGGCCTTATAAAAAAGTTCTCATGATTGAGTCAAGTTCCTGTAACATCTCTTTGTATTCAGAACTTGAAGATGATTCAATGATTAAATAATAAAAGAATAGATCTGCTGTACTATATGCATCACTTCACTAACAAAGATAAATTTCATCAGCTTTTATAATACTGGACCAAGACCTGTAACACTATAGGAAAACTAAAAGAAGGTTTTATATTTCATCAAATTAATAAACATTTTCTTTCTAACATGTTACAACTCAAGTTAACAGCACTGGCATGTTCTTAATATTTTATTACTTCTATGGTCATAATATATCAGCATTACTAACCAAATCCTTGAAAGTCTGTAGGTTAGAGGCTGGCTTATCAACAGGCTTACTAGGGTTACCATCCTCCGTGTTTGTAGAGCCTCGGTGGGTCAAGGTTGTGGTGGTTCTCTCCCCTGAAAAATTCACATCATCAAAAATTACATTTGATGTGTTTCTCCACCTTTCTTAATATGAAAGGTATGTGTAATAAATAAGTCTAGGTTGCTGATGACAGAAATCTATTTCTATTACTGATATGTTAACAAATTATGAACATCTTTAGTATAATGATGTCATATAAAAGAGGCTAAGAGGCATTAAAACCTCACCTGGAACTTTCGTTTGAAAATCTGTTCAATATGGCACATGCATGTGATTGTCAAAAGAGTGCAAGAAAAACTAGCATACACCATATAACAAAGAATAAGTCCCCAGTGTAGGGCAGGACCCAAGAGGCAGTCGTGGTAGCATGATTGTATTTGTTACTTCAAACCCAGCAATTGAATATATATGGTTACAGGGTAGGGATATCAACTATTTCCATAATATAACTCAGGGTGTAACCACACTAGGGTGGGACAATACCCAAGTGCCAGGTTTAGTAGAACTTGTGTGCATAATATATGGTTATAGGGAGAAGATCACAATTTTTTCCATGTTCTCACCCAGGGAGTCCCAAGGGGTGGATCTAGACCTGGGTCAAACATGGCAGCATCAGAGATTTTTTTCTAAACTTGCCTAGCAATTGTATATATGGCTATCAGGTGGCGATTTCAAAGATTTCAATGTTTTGACTTGGGGACTAAATCCCAAGGGATGGGGCCAGATCACAGAGCCAATCATACATGCAAGAGTGCATTCATCTTCTCATGCCTGGCAATTGTATATATGTACCTGGTATTGTTAGAGGGTGGCAGTCTGAACAGTTTCCAAGTTAACCCAGGGACTAAATCTTTAGGGGTGGGGCTGGTCCCCAAAAGCAGAATAGGAAAAATAACTTCAGAAGTTAATTTTTGGTCATACTTTTCACAATACAAAGATTTTTTTTCAATTAATGTTCTGTTTTCATTCTACAAATAAAATGTTTTCCATTTGTTACTCAAAGCTTCCAAATTTGATACCCTGAAATCTCAATAATAAGCCTGATTTTAAGAGGCCTGGGATTCATTATAGTCAAATATATCGCAAAAGTAGGCCAGCTGCTTGGATTCCTTGCAGTCAATTTTCTTTCAAAAATAAGCCGTCTACCTTAAAAAGTTTGTGCCATAATGGCACATACCTGGATAAACTGCTGCTTATTTTTGAGACTTTAGGGTATATTGTTTACGGTAAGACTGTTAATTACATTCACCTGTTGATGCTGGAGGCATGTTTTTCTCACCACTAGCTTGTCTCACGGGAACACTAGCAAACACTTTCCAGTTGGCTTCCTGTACTTTTTGGTTGAGGGCATTGACCTCCGCCACACAAGCTGAATATAACTTGTTCCAGTTGTGGGGATGGCCACCTGAAGATGTAAATATTTATTTATAACAAGACTTTCATCATCTTAACTCCAAAATATAGAGGTATAACATAGATAGCATTGTTTGAATATCTCGACAATACAAGTATCTGAAATACTCTAACCAATCAGGTGGAACTTTTCAGAGGCACCATCACCAATCTGACAAAAAGAAACTAGTGCTATATGAACTTGTCAGTGGACATACATTATTTTTTTTATAGAAATGCCATCTACCTTTCCTGTAATATAATTCTGAAATTGGTTTTAAGGACCCCTGTCCCACTGCACTGTGGATTTTCCTATATACAGTTACCTCCCCTTAACTTCCTTAAGGATTCCTGTCCCACTGCACTGTGGATTTTCTATATACAGTTAACTCCCCTTAACTTCCTTAAGGATCCCTGTCCCACTGCTCTGTGGATTTTCCTATATACAGTTTAACTTCCTTAAGGATCCCTGTCCCACTGCACTGTGGATTTTCCTATATACAGTTAACTCCCCTTAACTTCCCTATGGATCCCTGTCCCACTGCACTGTGGATTTTCCTATATACAGTTAACTCCCCTTAAATTCCTTAAGGACCCCTGTCCCACTGCACTGTGGATTTTCCTATATACAGTTTAACTTCCTTAAGGATCCTTGTCACACTGCACTGTGGATTTTCCTATATACAGTTAACTCCCCTTAACTTCCTTATGGACCCCTGTCCCACTGCACTGTGGATTTTCCTATATACAGTTAACTCCCCTTAACTTCCTTAAGGATCCCTGTCCCACTGCACTGTGGATTTTCCTATATACAGAAACCTCCTCATATCTTCTGTTTCGATATAACTGTAGCGCAGTTAGGGCTTCCGTTGACGAGGTTGCTCCATCAATTACACAGAAAGTATATAACCGTTTGAAGTCCAGAGTTCGAATCCAGTCTAGCCTCGCTGAATTTACATGTTATTTATTTCATCTTTATTATTTCCCATTAAAAGTTATAACCATGCCGGAAAAGTAAGTTTCAAATGCATAGTTATATGTTTTGGCAGTGGTACGGGGATCCTTAGTGGCAGAACTCTGGTGTAGAGAATTCAATCTATTTTAAGCATTCATAAGCAAGCTTTAATGCCATAGTAATGGATTACCAACCTGGCTGGCTGAGACTAAACACCACACTCCTCCTCACACCCGATGTCTTGGACAAGAGGCAAACATCATAGAATCCTAGACACTGCAGTAAGGAAATAATGGTAAATGATAGCTTTTAGGATCACTGTCAGACATGACATAAGAAGAGGATCACAGGGCCTGTATTGTTCACCTGTTCTTATCTCATGTTGTTGTTAAATGTTAAAATTAGCAAGTTGTAGGACAGACGTCATGATTCAGGCCTCATAAATAAAATGCCATTAGATTTTAACACATTTGGCAAACATAACCTTAAAAGTAGGTCAAGGTCATTTATCTGAACAAGCCAAAGTGCCCTTCATCCAAAGACAGCTACAGGCAGAATATCATGACCAGAGGCCTCAAACATACAGTGGTTGAAAATTTTAACAAATTTGACTCCAGTGACCTTAAATGTAAATCAGTCATTTATTTGAACAAATATGATGGCCCTTTACCTTTTCCGTGAGTTTAGTGTGGCCGTGCGTAGAAATGTGAAGATATGCATGTGTAAGCATGTTCTCTCCCTGTGCAAAGCTTATTGTTCAAGGCAGGCAACACAGTTCACTTGTTTATACTTGCTATATATGGGAGGGGAGGCTTTTGTACGTGCATGGTTTGTTGGGCAAAAAGAACATACTTGTACGTGGTTAACTGTCCAGTAATATCCTTATTAACCAATGAAAAGTATTGTTACACCATCAACAAACTATGATGTATGACGATGTATGATTACGTAAGAATGGTAATTCTCAAAAAATTAAAACATACTTATTAAAAATATTTATGTATATTTATATTATGGTGACTTACCTGAAGTAAACTGTTAGTTTTACATGCCAGTGCATCAACCAGGCATTTATTTTTCTGATCATCAAATACAACCTCCACAGGAAATGGGAAGTGCTACAAAACAGACAAGTAATGTTCACATTAGGTGTATCACAAAGTACATGTAGTGACATCACATCTGATCCGACTCTCAGCCAATTTACTTCTACAAGGTCAGGCTTCATTCGAGGTTTTCATTTTTTCCCCCTCCAGATTCATCTACATAAATTCATTACAGCATAATTATAAACAAACAAATCACATTTAAAATAAACTTAATTTCAAGATGTCCAAATGCAAAGAATGGAGGCTCAGAAATGTATAAAATAATTTAAAATAAGAGTGATTAATATAAGTTACAATAATGAAATTTTGTTTCAAAATTGTTGCAAAGGTTACATTCATACAAGTGTGAAGAAAAATTGCTTATGCTCAAGACAGAATAATATTGTCAACAAATGTATCTATCATTATACAAAGGTCATTTCATAACAAACTTTTTTGATACAAAACATCACAGTTTTTTACACACTAAATATGAACTTTGGTACTCTTACCTATTTCCAAAATATTCATTGTACAATTTATTGTTATGAAACATTTATCTAGGCTACATGCTAAATATTTGAGTGAAGTGGGGTGTTGATATCTGAAATGATTTTTATGAAATACTCCAACCAAAACCATTAACCATTTCATCACTGTAGACCATAATGGACACATCCATATCAATGCATGGTAAAGTCTACTTAAGTTACATAGGGGTGAAAGGGTTAATGAAATAAATGCTATGGAAATGCTTTACTCTCAAACTTTTCCATGGCAAGGTAAAATTTATGGTCACTTGAATTATTTAAATATCAAAATATCTACTGTAGGGTACAATTTGTGTATGAAGTTTGATCTGAACATCTTGATTGATTTTTCAAGCAATGATCTGGAAACAAAAAGTCAGACACACAGACAGAACCTGCTTGTAGGATCACTCGTCAAATTTGTTGAGTGAGGGGAAAAAAATGTGTAAATACATTTTAAAATAATCAAGTTAAGTGAACTGCACATTTCAACAGATATACTATAACTCATTCACCCCAAAAGACACATTTGAACTCTTCCAATTCCAAGGTTGGAATAGTTCATTATGAAATTTCAGGGGTGAATGAGTTAAAAATGTTGAAAGATGAGAACTGTTACCTCTGTGTTGTATATCTTGTAGAGCACACTGCTAACGGTCCAGGTGAAGTAGAGAAACACACCACACAGGAGTGTCTGGTACAAGAGACACACGTCGAGGAGACCCCACACAGAGTTCAGAGGGGTGTCAGACCTGTACGTGACCACGAAGAAACATTTTCATTAGCCTCATTGTCAATTTTCTACTTCCGATTCATTGCTTTGTTATATCGCTATTGTCAAAATAAACAGTTCATCAACTGTTATATAAAAATTGTTGAATTCATTTTTTGAAAGAATGTGATGATTAAGTTTTCATTTTGAGTGTACAACAGCAGAATGGTCCCAATTTGAAATAAAAAATAATAATGTACATTTCAGGTACCCCACCGACCCCTTTTTTTTATCTCTGACACGAACAATTTTATCTCTGACACGAACAATTTTATCTCACTCGAACGCACTCAAACCAGTGTTGGGATAACTTTTCCACCCGATGCAAACAAATTGATGAACAAACAAACAAGGCAACTATACATATATCCTCTCTACTTCATAGGCAGGAATCAACACCAAATTGAAATGCCATACTATTATTTATCAGACCTAAAAATATGTTTGGTGATTTTTTAAATTTCTTGAAAGCCCTTGAAAAATAAAAATAAGAAAATAAAATAGGTAAAAATAAATTTTGGCCTTACGAATAATTGATTGGACAGGCGAGTATCAATTGAATGGTAATTATAGGGGTGGAATGGTTAACTAATTGTTTGTTACATCACTAATTATAATTTAAGATGGGTGGCAATCTCTGAAAATAATACCCCCCAGTCCAATCCATTGCAGGGCACCAACTACATGCAATGTGCTGAACACACTTATATACTATATAATTACACTAATAATACTATATATAGTACTAAACACACATCATATTAGTGTGTCCAGCACCTGTGACTACAGGAATCAATAACTACTTACCCTAACACTGATGTGTGTTGTAAAACAAAGTCTTTTGGGATGTGACCTGGAAAAACCCAAAAGAAAACAATATACTCCACCAAGAACGAAAGGTTAACAACTTATGAAGATCACATTTCTTACTCAATAAATCATATCACATTTGTACACGTATATCAGAGCGGCAATGACCACTCCCTGCATTAGACCTTGGGTTGCTCTGTTTATGCTTAAATCATCTGTGACACTGATTCTAACGGACACGTTTTATAGCTGATCATTCTGACAGACTTGACATAACCAACCTGGAGAAGACCATCATTTACGGTATCTACTGTACCTGCAGACGCGGTTTGTACCAGCTGCAGTAACTACAGGAGATCTTTTCCTTTAAAAGGCAGGTTAGTGAAGAGATTGTAAGGAATCTTTAGAAAGCAAACTCCTTACGTTTCTGATGTCCATATCAAAGTATTTACGGTAGTGCATTTTTGACATAAAAGTGAACAATGCCGGTTAGGTGCATAAGGGATTTGATCTTAGAGGCTTTAGGCTCTCTGCACCCCTGAAATATGTCAATACAAAATTGAAGGCTCAGTGTGCACCACATGTAGATGAGACAAGAAGATTAGTTTGATCCTCTGATGTACGTCAATAAAATCTGTCGGTTGCGTAACAGTAAAAATTGGCTGGCTTTGAATTTGGGTGTCACTCCTCTGTAATCTTCAAAAGGACAGGTATCAGCCTAGCGATTGGACAGGATTTTTTACCCGACACCAATCAAATAGCTAGCCGCTTTGTAAAATTCAGACCATAAATTATGTGAAGATTAGGGTACCGAACATTAAGTGGTCAAAAGTACAGAGAGAAATGTTACAGACCAGAACATAAAGTGTAAGTATATGTAGATCTTACCAAACATCCAATAGTCACAAATACAAAGAGAAATTTTACAGATCAGAACATGTGTAGACCTTACCAAACATCCAGTAGACTGGGTAGAAGTACACTGTATGCCACAGGGAATAAGAAACGGACTTCAGGAGTTCATTGAAGAGTCGACTTCTCACTTGGAAAAACTTGGCTTGCTGTTTAAAAACATAATAGATATCTAGAATTTTTCCTTAAACTTCAAGAATAAATTTCTTAGCAACTATATTTTTATACAGTAAATCAGATTTTCGTATTTTCCGTTGATCATGTTACCCACAATCTTTAAAACTGACCAATGAAGAGGGTAGCTCTAAATGGTAGAAAAATGCACTGTAACTTCTGCAGAGTTTGTATACAGCTAGCATGTGACATTAAAATGAATAAATTAATGAAATGGAGGTGACAATTTTCCACTTTACAGAAGCACATGTCTTTAGTTAATAAGTGAATGAACGTACCTCAAGGACTGGGAACTGTATGAGGTTGTTCTGGTGTATGTACATGGTGATGTTGTACAGGACCCCACTGTACATACCATACACTACCAGGAACAGATGGTACTCGTTCAGGTAATACACCTCCCTGAAAAATACAATGTACACAAATATTGAATAGACATATGAATGGACCAGGATCTGTATTCATAAAACTGTCAAGCTCAAGCATGGATTTTGTGATCAAGCTTAATTTCTTGTTCCGTTTATAAATTACTAAAATCTTATTTTGCCAATGATTTGGGGAAAAAAATTGAAGAGACTTAAACAAAAGCCTAACACATTTTTAATGTTAATGTTTCTTTTGATCGTTTGACATTATTTAAGTAAGTTACAAGAAAGTTGTTTTGAGCACAAAATCCATGCACAAGCATGAGAACGGTTTCATGAATACGGGCCCTGGCAAACTATTTTTGCTTCGAAAGATAGTCACATATCCAATTAATTAAACTTTTTAGTAATTCTGAAACATGTTAAGAGTCTTACTACTCACCTCTCCGTATCATCTGATTTGATGATGAGGGTAGTGTAGCGGTCGCCGATACAGGCAGTGCACACCCAGGCTGTTACCGCCCCCGACACAAGGTACATCAGACATCGCAGTAGGCGTGCTGGCAGCAGTAGCTGGACCAGGCCATGTAGGCGAGTCAAAGGGATATCAGGTATCACTGGAACCAAATAAGTTTCTATAGTTACTGGACAAGACCATTTTGTAGTTTCAAATGGGTGACAGTATCACTGGAATCAAACAAGTTTCTATAGTTACTGGACAAGACCATTTTGTAGTTTCAAATGGGTGACAGTATCACTGGAATCAAAACATGTTTCTATAGTTACTGGCCAAGACCATCATGGAGTTTCAAATGGGTGACATTATCACTGGAACCAAAACAAGTTTCTATAGGAACTGGACAAGACCATCATGGAGTTTCAAATAGTTACTAGACCAAACCATTCAGGAATTTCAAAGGGGTAACAGGTATCACTGGAACCAAAACAAGTTTCTATAGTTACTAGACCAAACCATTCAGGAATTTCAAAGGGGTAACAGGTATCACTGGAACCAAAACAAGTTTCTGTAGTTACTAGAGCAGAATATTCTGGAGTTTCTGAACTCGGCACTGATTGGTCTGTTAAATTTAGAAGCCAATCAGCACTGAGGTCACAAAATTTAAAGAAAATGGCAGGCTCTGTTCAGATTTCCGATAGTCAAGACTGACCAGCTTAAAAACTGGACTCGGGTGTCCGAAATGAAAATGAAAGAGCATGAACTATAATACAAGTAAGTTTGTTTTTTATCCTAGAAACACTGTACTGACATTGAATAGCGTATATGTCGGCTGTTAGGCACACCAATTGTGGATTTAGCGTGTCATCCCGAAGACAGCACAGTGTCCGACCAACTGAAATTTGACCATTTTTCGATATTTCGTGAAGTCTACTGAAATTTCCACTGCATGATATATTGCAAATAATACATCAAATTAAAAAAAACATATTTTCCTCCCAACCTAGACTGCTCCCGGCATCATATTATGATCAGTTTTGATAAAATCGCATGTTTTCTGGAACGGAGTCATTTTACCAGGGGGACAGAGTTAGCAAACTTGATAATATTATATGTTTATTGACAGACGAGGCTAGCACCTGTGAACCAGGCAATGTATATATGTCAGGGGGATGTTAAGCTGATACCTGTGTAAGATGAGGATGTCAGTATGCCCAGCACTCCAGCCACAAGTGTCAGCACCGCCAACAGAAACATGTAATGTGTGGAAAACATCATTGAAATGGAACCTGTCAAAAAAACAAAACAGGGATGAGCCTCTTGTTAGCTAATTTATATAATTGTGTATTTCTTCTGCTATGACCGAGTTAAGTTTATAAAATCCTTTCATGAACAGCACTGCAAGTAGGAATTGATGTCATCTGGACTAATTAAAAACATATGTATGTGTCAAAAAACTTCCAGAATTTATGTCCAAACTAATAAAACAAGAAATAATATAATACATATCTGGAACAGAGTTACTTCCCTTAGACTGTAAATGATATCAGCACATATATAGAGAATAATACATGCCATTTTCCATATCACACCCAGTATCAACCCGAGACTGCAATATCAGCCCAATGGCCGAAGGCCCGAGGGCTGAAATAAGTCGAGGGTTGATACTGGGTGTGATATGGAAAAAGTGATGTTTTATTCTGTTTATTACATACTTACTAATAAAAAGGTTACTATCTTATGATAAATTTTTCTTTTGAAATATTGAAAAACAAAAACAAAATCCAAAAGGGGTGTGGAAAAAGTCATGATTTATTCTGTTAATTACATACTTACTAATAAAAGCTACTATCTTACGATAAAAAAAATTCTTTTGAAATATTGAAAAACGAAAAAAAATCCAAAAGGGGTGTGATACAGGTTTTGCGGGCTGATACGGGTTTTGGGTTGTGATACGGCGGGGGCTGATACGGCTTTTGGGGTGTGATACGGCGAGGGCTGATATGGGTAAGAGCAATTGTGTCGTATCGCACATACAAAAAACCCGTATTTATTAGTAAGTATGTAATAAATAACAATATATAATAATAATAATAATTTGAGGTTCTAATATACTGCTTTATCACAACATAGTTTGTATGTCGTCTGAAAGCGGTTCACAAATTATTATCTATGGTTATAGGGCCTTTGCAACCAGCCAATACCTTTCTCAACTCCCTGGGGAGCATACAGCCGGAGCTGCAATTTCGGCGCTAACATACAACAATTTCAGCACTGCTCAACCAAGTACTCGTTTACAGCTGAGTAGACTGGAACAAGCGGAGTCAAGTATCATGCTCAAAGATACAACACATTGCCTTGCCGTGGCGCGAACCCGCAACCCTTCGGTCACGAGCCCGGCGTCCTTAACCACTGGACTACCGTGCCTCCTATATTCATTCATTCATTTCCAGAATTTTCAGAAGTTGATAATGAAAAGTAACATTGTGGGCCGAAAAGCCCTGATATTCACTACTCAGATAACATAACTTTAAAGCCTGGATATAGGCACCTATCCTGCAGAATCGCTTATCCTTGAATCACCTATAGCTAGTGCACTGTGATACACACTGTGCATCTGGATTTACGAGAGTTTTTGGTAGTGTTTGGACCATCCTTGAGGCTAGAGGCAATATACTGGTCATCTGTACAGTTTTAATTAACAGACAATGCGCAGATCTAAGAATTTTTAAAGTTCTGTACATAACAAAATACATGTAAACACAAAATTAACTTATGTTTTTGGTCCATAATATCTTACGGTGATTTTTCAACCTCCTTTCCACAGGGGCCTGTGCTTTGAGGAAAATATCACACACAAAAAGCATGATTTTGGGAAAATAAAGTAATTTTAGTATCAGTTTTTGGAAAAACACAGCAGAAATTATCTAGAGCAAATGGCCTAATATAAGGCTCCAAATTCACCCTGAAAAAATCACTGCCTTAAACCACCTGTCAACCAACTATCTTTTCTTTTCCAAATGTTGAATTGGGATGACAGTTATGATGTGTCTCCTGCCTGGTGGAGGGTAGTACTTCTGCAATAATAACAACATAGTTGCATATTTATTATGGCCTATCAGAACATAGTGTAATATTCTTTAGAGAAGAGTGTACCTGCTATCCATGATATAGGGTGAAACACATCCATGCTACAGAAGATGAGGTACACAGCCAGTAAACAAGGCTGTAGCAGCAGGGTCCACCCCACAGCAGCTCCTGTCCGCCAACTGTACACCTAATAACACAAGGACATAATAAATACATTTTCTTGTTTTGTTAATTTGCAGCCATCCAAAAACAATGTTGATCATTAGCTTAATTTGAGACTTTCATGAAGAGTCAGTGGTGTTTTTTTGCCTTGATTCACTTGTAAAAACAGACATTTTCATTAAGCATAAAAGTGGCATATTTCCCCAAACTGAAGTAAAAAATCAGTATGTATTACTACAAATATTGGTAAAACTTATAAGGATGTACATGACCAGAACTTCAATGTTCGTGATTAGGAATGATAACACATTTGATTGATCTGTGGGCCAAATGCAAGTTTGCAATCATATTAGATGCAGCAATCTCAGAAATACTACATGAAGAGCTACATGTAAATTTACAAACACGGGCACAGGCCTGGAACCACTCTCGCATACAATCTATGCAAATTTTACTGCAACAATTATCACTGTGCTCATATAACGGAAAAAATATATTGTAAATTGTGATTTTGATTTTCGAAAGCTCTCTGTGCACACACAAATATAAATATATACATATATCTTCATTAGAAATAGCCTTCAGCCCCCAGCCAACTGAAGGGATGTGCTTTACATTAGCGTAACTGCTTTTTTCTGCCCTGGACACCAGTCCACTGCAAAATACAAATTTTCTTCCAGGACATTCAGTCAGAAAACTATCCCAAGCTTGTAGGTCGGAACAACTTTTACAGGACATTTTAGTCAGGTTAAGTTGAAATACTTATATAACCAGTGTGAAGAAAATGAAAAATTATTTGATGCATACAATTTGCTGGCTTTTGCCCAAGTCACATAATGAAGCATTAGTCTTCACTCCATGTCATTACAGGTTTACCGCAGCGCTTGACAGCACTGATTATTACAAACACTTAGTGAAATGACTCAAGATGGGCAAGGGCTAGCTATGTCCCTGGTCATCATGAGTGTTGGTGCCATGATAGTGTCCAATGTTTTGGGAAAGTTGCTTTTTCAAGATGTTAGGAAAGAAACTTGTACATGTAACAAGGTGATTTGATGGTTATTAATACAAGTGGCTTTAAGGAATTTCTGACTGCCTGAAGAATACATATCGCAGTAAAATAGTGGTTAACCATCATCTTGGATGTCTCCAACTCCTTGAAATGTTGGTATGGTGGTTGTATGGATCCCAGTCGAGTCCCACTGTTGACCGGAGTAGCAGAATGACAAGTGGATACTGTGAAACCTGCTGATGTCCAAATGCAACCTTCAGCAGTTCAGATTTATATGACCAGGTGTGTTACATTTCGTTTATTGTACTTAAAGTGATCGAGTTGTTAACTAAAATAGGGAACATTGTGGAAGTTGTGGTAGGCCTACAGTACATTTTGCACATAATTTGGAAAGTGAAACCAGAGGAAAAAGAAAAATGTATGACAGAATATGCTAATTTAAGCTCTAAAAACCCACAAGAATATATACCTCTCGTCTATACCAACAATCCAACGTCTCCATGTTAACAGATGAATCTAGAAAACCCCAAAACCGCTCTGTTCGATTCTCACATGTTTTTCAAAGGAGCCGCCATTGACAGTAAAGTACTTCTCGATCAAATGAGATGTTGAACATTTTAAAAGAAGTAAAACTATTTAAAAATTAGGGATTATAATATCAAAGAATCAATGTTTATGGAAATCAAAAGAGTTTCTATCTATAAGTATACTTTTGAACGACAATCAGTGTATATCTAACCGTCTCGCACAGACGTTATTTGCGAGATTTAATAACAAATATGGCGGGGCATAAAGCAGGTGATCCTTTGGAATGCTACAGTGTAAGTGTTTTTCGTAGTATTACGCTGTCATGTTAATTCTAAACATTATACAAGCGTTCAATTAAGCATATTCTTTTTAAATGTTTGACGTATGTGAATCGTTGTCGCATTTCAATATTCGTATGAGTCATTTGTGCTCGGAATGTCAGCTGCCCTGCCCAAAAAACATCGTCTGCTAAAGAGTGCTTCATTCATGCTATATCAAAGAGATGTAGCATGAGTCTTACTCCCCTTATAAAAATGACATCTCATTATAAATATCACATATGTGTACCATAATCAGCTTGCATTCGTGTATAAATGCTGATTTCTGCTCTTCGATTTTACGTACTGTCAAAAGTATCCTCACTTCACGGAATCAAACGATGACGTGCCCAGTTTCGGTGCCCCTCTACTTGTAGCACATATTTGAAGGTTGATGGTCCAGTTTGTGTGCAGGTCCAGCTCAATCTAATAAAAGTTAGACTTGTAATTCCGCTACTCTACGATACACTCAAATACTTGTATTGGAGTATATCGTAGAGCGAAATCACAAGTCCAATTTTAACTAGATTACTGTACAAGTATTGCAATGTATCGGAGTGGAGTGGAATTGCAAGGAAAAATGCAAGGCCAACCGGGGACCCTCCGAACTCTAGACAGACGTTCTACCAAATGATCTACCTGGTCGCTGACGATCGACCCAGTCCAGTTCCGCTACATATGCACACAGTGATCATCATTTGTCAATTTGCCCAAGGCCAAAGACATTCATTTTTTTTATCTTCCCTGGTGAAAATTTGCAGTCTACTTTATGATAAATAGAATATATAGTTTGGGCTTGTAGAATCTTTTTCAAAATTTGACTGTAGTACTAGTATTGTCCTCTAACTATAAAAGTGTTCACTAATGGATTATTTTATATCTTATATAACAAACTGTAATATACAACAGGCTTCTATCTTTTAATATCAATTAAATGATACCTTTTTTCAAGCTAAGGACAAGTGATGAAGCACATGAAAACATGCAGTTTTTCAAAGTTGATGAAACCGTTTCCATAAATTCATCGACTTGCCAAACCATTGGCTCTAACAGATTGCCATCAACATAATTAATAAATTCTTTGATAGCACAAAATTTTGTGCAGGTATCACAAATGATTTTTTTTAGGATTTTAGTTATTAGTCAGTTGATAACCACTATTTTGTATTTATGTTGTTTACAAAATATAGTTAAATGAAAAATTTTGAATGATAAGAAAAACACTGGTCCCAGCAGTGACATGGCTTGATCAACTATTAGTCAATACTCATGTCTGTCAGTATATATTGGGTCAGACTGATGAATACAGTAAGTTGGTCCCCATCAGCTCCCTACTTCATCTCAGACTCAGTCATTGTATAGTGCTATAGACCCAGTGTTAACAAGTGGACAGTTAGATATGGAAAGTTGACGTTGAATGACTAAAAAGTGAAATTATTGATTCATAATTTTTAATCAAGTTTTAATGTTGGTATATGAGATAATTACTGGGAATCAAAAAGAGGAAAAAAATCAGATATTTCTGGAAAATGTTGAATTCATTGTTTGTGGAGAATGCATGTTTTTGTTTTGTGACCTTATGTTCATGACTTGACCTCAAGTACTGAAATACAAGTTTGAGAGGAAAACTAAAAACATTCTATATGGAAACAATCATTGTATGTAGCTACTTGAAATAGAATAAGACTGATATAGGCATAGCCTGTTGTCTGATTCTTTTGTCAATACTGTACTTACATCTTCTTTAATATATACAACTTATATGTTTGTATTATATATGTATTGTCAATAAAATACTTTTGAATTGAAATACAAGTTTCGTTTTATGGAGATCATATACTTGGCCTGCTTATGCAAGCGGTGTAACATATCAACCGCAACCTCTGTTCACTATCGTTTGATACAAATGTAGGGTTGTCCATGAAGCCTGTCCCCTTTAAGTCAAATCTAGTCAGTAGTCTTTCCTAGAGCATTTACTATGTAAATATGAAGAAAGAAAAAAATGACTGTTTCCCGTAGACTGGATTCCAATATTAGAAAGAGTTACACCCCTTTGCACACAAGATTAATATTGTACTATGGAAATGTTGAGCTTTGACTGAGCTCAGTATCATTGTTCACAGGGTGAAATCACATGCCTGTTATGAATCACAAACATGCCATTTATTTCACTTTTGCCAATATTCAAATGTCACAATATTTTTTTCTGTGCATTGCCATTTTTTTATATATTTTTTTTAAATACATCTAGTCTAATTGTTTTTGAACACAACCGTACCAAATTTAATATGAAAGTATATTTTGATAAATGAGTTGTGAAATAAAAGTTTTTCTACCCTTTTCACAAGATTCAGTGAGCTTCCCCCCCCCCCCCCCCCCCCCACACACACACACACACACACACACACACACAATTTTAGGCTTACTATTATAAATGATTAAATGGGTAGGGTTTGACATTTTCATAACATGTATAGCTAAAGTCATAAGATGACAATGTCCATCGGAAATGGAGCTACTAAATGGTCACTTTTATTTTGCTGAAATGCCAGACCAGGACATAATTGAAGGATAATTTTTAGTGGTAATTACAAGTAGGTAATAAAATGAACACCTATATTGCAGAGGATAATCCTTCTTTAGGTAAATAGGTAGTTAAACACGATTGATGATTTTCAACCTGTAAGTTGACGAAGCTATTAATTGTATTGTAGATTCCATTGGTTTTGAACAAAGATGCTGATTTAGATGATGAAGGAAACCCAGTCATTGGACAAGATGGCAATCCCAGACACCGATGTGGATTTAAAATTGGTGGGGGTATTGACCAGGATAACACAAAATGTCCATATGGATATCCTGACAAGGTAAATATTAAACCCTTATACTTGTAGATATTTTTCAGTGTTCTTTCAGATGTTCAAAAGATAATAATGTTTCTTTTTGCAGCATACTAGATAAAGCAACATGGAGAAGTTACAGTAATTTTGTTTTAATAGTGGTAGACATTTGGTAATATTCTATGGTAAGAATATATAGGAGCATTGCACTGTGCTGCCTAAACCTGTTGGTGGGAACATGCATGGATTTATGTTTTACCTTAAAGCTGTTCAATACATTTATTTACAATAGCTGCTACAGGTACCCGGTAGTAGTATTTCCTGTTATCATGTCTTCAGTACTTTAGTAGTTACGTAAGTTGAGTCTTTTTGAGCCTATGGGGCCGAGCTTAACCCACTTTCTGTTGCATAAAGCGACTGAGAGTTGATGCATGTGTCTCCCTTTTGAATGAACACCTGTTTTTTGCAGGAATCTTTTTGAACAAGCTGGCACCAATTTGAACAATACTGATCAGGTTCAAGTGTCTGTTTTAAGGACATAACAACATCAGCACAATTTGTTACTATGACTTATTTGGTCAGTAAAACCCAACATTTCCTTATTTTTCTGTGTGTTTCAAGCCTATAACCTTTAACTTCAGTGAGTGGGTATATGTAGTAAAAGAACACTAACTGAGCTGTGCTGTACTGTAGTACTATATATATATCTAGATTGTTACTGGAACCTATACATTATGTTAGAAAGCTAACTGGTATCTTTAATCAATATATCAGTTTGACAACTCTATATGCTGTTGTTGTCTGCATGATTTTACAGCTTAGCTATCCTACTCTCAAGTCTCCACAGGAAAAGCATTCTAGTATATAAGCAGGAAGTGTATTATGTAATTTACAAGTGCCGTTTTTACTTAGGACAAAGTTCAGTGACCTTTTCCAATCCACCTTCCATTCACGATTGTCTTGTATTTTCGTCTCAAATGTTGTTACACTGATTTCAGATAATTTTTTCAGGTAGCATCCATGTCCAAGTATCAAAAGGGGCACGGGATGGGCAGGGTCCAAGAGGGAGGGGGGATTGGCTAATACTTGGAAGTCTTCTTCGGACCCAGATGTCCTAGAAGCAAAAACAAATTCTCTTCATGGATGGAAATTGTTTCATCATGTCTTACCTTTAAATAAATAGAGAAATGTATGAGTACTAGTTTATTCTAATCTAATCTTTTCATAGCCATAAATTTTAAACCCTATAAGATCTGGTGTTGAAGTTTTAACTTTAACCAGGAGGTGTGAAGTGTGCTATAAAAGATACCTGCACCCACCACCCCCCACCNCACCCCCACTCCACCCCCCAAGGAAGTGTGCAGTGCACTGCAACTAGGCCACTGTAATCTTCAGTTCAGGTCAAAGGTTCAATTAGTGCAAAGATTTCCACAAAATCTTGTGTTGGCCATAAGTTTTAAAACTTGACAGATATCTTGATATAAAGCCTATAGTGTACCTGCATTACCCACTGAAGATGTGCAGTGCATTGTAATAAGGCCACTGGAACATTGATCTCAAGCTGAAGGTCCATGATGTGCAAAACTTCCTGCAAAATCTTACCTTGGCTTAACTGATTTTTTTTAAAGATGAAACCTGAAGTATATCTCCATTAGCTAAAGAATGTGAACTGTACCTTCTACTCATATAAATGGATAAGGGAAATAACAATTTGGGAATTATGTTGTTTGTTTTCGTTAGAAAACCATTCAAACATGGTTTGAAATATTATAAAAGGGATGGCTGTTAATTGTATGAAAATTGAACCGACACCCTTTCCCCACGTCTGTGGGGGCTGTGGGAAAGGGCAGAAATGGGAAAAGTGACTTAGAATTAATTGATTACCCCCAGGTTACCTATTACTCCCTAGTGATGGTGTCAGATAGTGTAGCTTACATGGAATACTTGAGGTGATGCTTACAATTCTAAACCTTATTCGATGTAGAGAAAATTAACAAAAAACTCATTTCTCATTATTCAAATACACATGTAATATATTTGAATGGCTTAAGTTTGCTTTTTGTTTCTGTATGCATGAGTGATGACATCCGTACTTATTCCTAGTCCATCCCGACCTCAAGTCGCTACGGCCTCTACGAAATTTCCCCTCGCAACAAAAGTTTGAGGGTATATATAGGATTAAACCTGTATGTATGTTACACTCTTTGTCATCACTCTAGCGACTTTATTCCTCTACGGTATTTCCCTTAACGCTTTCACCCCTTAATAACTTCAGCAGACACTACCAGCATTGATCTGGCAGAATCCATTATGGTCTACAGTGGTGAAAGGGTTGAACAAGTTTGCGTTTCAGGTTTCTACGGTGAAGGTCAAGGTCTCTGTTATTACTTTAAGAAAAACTTTGTCATCACTCTAGCGACTTTATTCCTCTACGGAATTTCATTAAACTAGATTCAAGTGTTTGGTATGGCAATGTCCTGAACAAGTTCATGTTTCCGGTTTCTATGTTGAAGGTCAAGGTCACTGTTACTATTTTTAGAAAAACTTTGTCATCGCTCTAGTCACTTCATTCCTCAATGGAATTTCATGAAACTAAAGTGTTTGGTATTACAATGCCTTGAACAAGTTCGCACTGATGGAGAGCTGGTCAAAAGATTTATTTTTTTTAAATATGAAGACTTGCATACAGTTCTTGGTCCTTAGCTATATGCATGTTTTATTTTTGAGACTGATCAGAATGCATGTATGTATGTAGATATTTTTTTAATCTGTTTATATTATTTTCATGCAAACTCTTTTTCAAAACTGTTTACCAAAAGAATAAGTGCGTTTAAAATTTTTGTACTTGCTCTGTACTCAATTGCAAATACATGTATACATACCCATGAAGGTATGTCCAAAACTCCTTAAGGGTTGATACAAGAGAAAGCTTGCATTGAATTTGTTGAATACTTGTAGCGACAGTACTTGTATATATATTGATGATTTCAAATTCTATCAACTACAGACTCTTTTTCAAGAGTAATACCCTGGTCACACATTTACGGATCGGATGCCGGATTAACCACGGATAGGATATGGCATCATTTGTGGCAATCTGTAGTGTCCCGTAGCTGTCCGTATTTTATCCTGGGTCGTAGTAGTACTAGTATATCTGTGACAGTTTTTGAACATGTTCAAAAATTCACCATTGATCAGACAACAGTAGTACATCCTTACTGATCCATAGTAGAAAGTAGTAATCTGTTGTAGTCCGTAATAAACCGTAATTATCCGTACTTGTTCCTAGTCCATCCCTGACCTCAAGTCGCTACTGTGGTGGGTCTGTGGCGCTCCGTGCCAGTTCGTACTAATCCGTGCCAGACCGTTCTAATTCGTGCCAACCCGTACTAAAATTGTAGGGAATCGTTGTTAATCTGCAGCGCATACGCCATGACACGTGTCATTCCGTTCTAAACCGTAACGAACCGTAGCAATCCGTATCACTCCCCGTTGTCAACTAGCCCCTATCCGTAGTCAAACTGTGGTGCATCCGTAGCGGATCACTGATATAGACTATTCCGGGTCATCCGTGAGTTTCCATTCGTATTGGATCTGGCGAGACAATCCGTGAATGTGTGACCAGGGCATAACATTCTCTGTTATTCATAATTTTGCGAACCATGAACATTAAAGAATCAATTACATGTTTCCATTTTTTTTCTTTCAATTATGATAATGAGCAGTATATAATAAAACAATAAAGATTTAAATACCACTGTCAAGATGATTTCAACATGTTGTTTGAAGAAATTAAGTTTTATCACAGTCTTAATGGCTTATCAACAAGGTCATATAGCTTAATAACACTGTTTAAAAAACGGATGAAAGGTAGGTGTGACATATTCGAGTAGGTAAAAAAAAAAGAGGTAAATACAGAAAAGATTAAGATCTTAACAATTGCAGTTTGGTACAGCAGATCTATTTTAGATTCTTCAGTGTCCCCTCAGCAAAGACAATCTAATTACCTAGTGTGTGGGTATGTAATCATATATATATTCTGACATGTATAATCTGCCCAGGCAATCTCTTTTCAGATACAAAAACAAAAGTCAAGATATTGAACTGCATGTGTAGACGTAATCCATATGTTAATTGTTCGCAGCTGCCTTCACTTGACTCAAAAGTAAATTTACTTACTGACTGTGACATTGAATTCGGTAGGAAGTCTTACCGTTGCAGCTATTGTGTTACATGTACCTGTCTCCTCAATAAAGCACAGGTGTGACATGTTAATCTTTAATGTTGCTTTCACTCTAAAAGCCATAGCAAATATTTACATGACCAGGTATTATTGAGATTCCATGCAGAAACGACAACATGAATTGAAGACAAAAATATATATATGGGACTTTTAATACTTGTACCTACAGTATATATTAGAAATAAAATAGCCCACTTTGTCATCACAATTGTATTTATATATATATGAAGTGATTTGTACTCAATTAATGCTGTTTAAGTTAAAAATAAAATCGGTAAAAATCAATATGAATTGTAACTACATGTACATGTACCAGCATTACATTTTCTAAATCTATGATGAGTTATCTCCCTTCATATGTACAGGTGTTTTAATCTGTTATACAGTTATTTTGACTGCATTCTACAATGTTTTTATTAATTATTTCTTTCCCCTTCGTAAACATTTGAATGATTTTTGTAAAGTTTACAGTGATCAACTAAACTATTCAGGTTATGACTTTAAACTTTGTACATGACAGCCAGACGTGTCGAGATTAATAAAAAATGAATTAGCATAATTCTTGGTCATATCAATATTTTCCACTTATCAATCAAACATTGGTTGATTGTTGAAAATATTTTCCACTTAAGAATTAAAAAAAAATAACATGTCAAACTTGTCATGTAAAAATGTTTAAGGAGAAGAGGTAGGCTATATACAAGGTATTTAAACCATCTCTCTGTAGTGGAAGGAGAGACCGCCTGTACATGGATTGTACTTGTACAAGTTTAAGTGTAGCGTTAATCTGACATATATTTATTTTGGATGTTTACATTTCAACATTCTACGTGTCATACTGAAGGTTTTAAAAAGTGTCTTAAAAATCAGCATGTTTGCTAAAACTGCAAAACCATTTGATGGCTTTGGGTTGAGTGTGTAAAAGGTGCATACAATAAGTGATTGAGAAACGTATTTGACTTGTAAATCAGGGTGTGCACCCCTGTGCCAGGCCAGGACTCCGTCCGCCAGGCATCTCCATTTTGTTAGGAAAGCCTTGACACACTGATTAGGCCACTTCTGCCTAAGACTTACTTGTAGAAAATCAAAATTTACATATGTTATTTACTTTTGACTGAAAGGCCCCGTTATTTCAATAGGAGAAGAAAAAGAGCTTTATCATTCACTTGTTGGAAATTTGGAGTGTGACAGAGAAAGCTTCAACCGAGTACAAAGTACAATCTGGGTTTTAAGTGTCACTTATCAAAATGAGTTATTTACACTGGTCTCGTTGTGCTGATAAAAACACATGAAATTGGGTGGTTGTAATATCTGTGTATTGAGTCTTGGAACAGTTACAAAATATTTGTGTCCTATTTGAACTTACGAGTCCAATGTCAGACACGGGCTTGAAGGTGATCAAATATCTGTTGGTATTGAATTTCAGTTCAAGAACTACAGAGCTAAGAAAACATTCTCTTGCATGAATTTATATATATGTAAATTAAATCTAATGGCAAATGAATGACGTTTAGTGGTGTTTTTTGGATTTAAGGTTTCAAAGGTAAATTTATCCATAAATTACTGCGTGTATAACAAAGTTCCTGCTGAGACAAAAACATAACATGTACAAATATATTCTATAGTAACAAGGATTCACATACAGTTCTAAACAACCATAAAACACTCTTTTCGTTTGTATTTAGCGTGACAAAATTGCATCTGAAATTGAATTTATTTTGAAATACATTATTTAAAAAAAGCAGTGGATTTGTCAATGTTATAAAATTCTAAAATACAACTGAAAAGTGAACACTCTTTATGGTAGTATAAACCTTCAATTTATTAATCTGTACAACCTTCTTCAAATATAATAATATAACAATAATAATTCAAGGTTCTTATAAACCGCTTTATCACAACCTAGTTCATAGGTTGTTTCAAAGTGGTTCACAAATTATTATCCGTGGTTATAGGGCCTTTGCAACCAGCCAATATCTTTCTCAACTCCCTGGGGAGCATACAGCCGGTGCTGCCATTTCGGCGCTCACAGCTAGCATTCAACAATTCTGGCACTGCCCAACCACATGCTCATTTACAGCTGAGTAGACTGGAATGAGCGGAGTAAAGTATCTTGCTCAAAGATACAATACAGTGCCGTGCCTCGACTCGAACCCGCAACCCTTCGGTCTCGAGCCCGGCGTCCTACCACTAGACTACCGTGCCTCTAAATACCATCCACCTATATAGAAAAGCACTAATTGTTTTTTCCTGTATAATATCCTCAATAGAGACTGTTTTGGGTCTCTCTCTTTAGCAGACTACAATAAAATCAAACTTATTATCACCTCGCTACGAAAGTTTGAGGGGTTACAGGATTCCGCCCATACGTACGTACTTATGTTACACTCTTTGGCATTGCTCGAGCGACTTCATTTCTCAGCGGAATTTCATGAAACTTCATACAAGTGTTTGGCATGACAATACCTTGAACAAGTTCGTGTTTCGGGTAACTGCATTAAAGGTCAAGATCATTTACTATTTTTAGAAAAACTTTGTCACAGGTCTAACGAATGCATTCCTCAACGGAATTTCGTGAAACTTGATACAAAAGCTTGCCATGACAATATCTTCAATAGACGCATTCGCTAGAGCAGTTACTGTTACATCATTGAATTTTCTATTCATTTCCTCATACATATGGCACACAATATGTGAACGCGAGGGGATTTGTATCACTTTTGATGTCTTGTTAGTATTTGTATTACATTTCTCCTGTGTAATTCAAAACATAAAAGTATTTAACTCATTCACCCCTGAAATTTCATATTGAACTATTCCAACCGTTGAATTGGAAGAGTTCAACTGCGTCTTCATGGGTGAATGTTTCTTGGAAAAGAACATTGATGAGTGCCCAAAGTGTCTCTCCAACTGCTCTTTATTTTATTGTATTTCACGTTCAAATTTATAACACTAGATAACTGTGTACTGCGAAATTTTCGCTTCAGTTTAATCGTCTTTTTTTGCTCTCCGTAATGAAGGCGAATTTATCAATAAAGCTAACATTTATAACCATCCTACTATACATAATAGATAAATGTGAATGGCACTATTAAATACTGGGCTAATATGGATTGTACCAGTAAAAGGTGATATACCGTAACACTCTCATGAAGGGCTGTCCCGAAATAAACAATATCTTTACAATGTTTTAAGACTCTGTAAAATCGAGGTCTGATACAAGTTGCCCCCAGTGACAAGAGTCAAACCCTGACCTACCAGGAAACCAAGGTTCAAATACTGTCAAACACTCTAAACCTCACAGTCGTCTGGCACTAATTACTAGACTCCTCACCAACAAACCCTATGTAAATTTGGCAGCCTAGCCACACATGCCAGAGATTTGCTTCCATCAAGGTAATACTTTTTCTATCAAATTTGTTCGACATGGATCATTTTTTGATCTTCCCTATCATTTATCTTGACCCTTATCAAATGTTTGCTATGAGGGTGCACTAAGGGCGCCTTATTATCGACTAAATTAAGTCCAAGAATCCTTTTCATTACTTGTGTACATTGTTCAGAAGATAAAACGGTGTCAAAAGATACCACTCGCAGAACTTCGGAAATAGCACCAAGTTCTCCTGTAATCTACAACAAAGTGGCTATCTGGTTGCTGGTATATCTACTCTCTGAACATAGTTTTGATAACCCACCACTGTTAATTATTAGGACTGCAATGATTTATCAGTGACGATATATCACGATATTTTGAACACCATACAATAGATACACAATAACTTTTTGGGAGGTTATGATATTCAGGATTTTGTCATTTCTGAATTTAGTCTACTCATATCCATTCCAACATGGCGAGTGACAGCTCCAGCTTGGCATGCACGTCAAAAGATGCGAACGGTATGACACTTTTTTACGTATCGTATCATGACACAATATCGTGATATGTATCGTATCATCATGTTAATGTATTCGTGGCAGCCTTATTAATTACACAGTTCAGAGTAGCTTTGCTTTCAGTGTCCTGTTTGACATCAATCCTTCTACATAGCTGCTAACTTCTGGTGTATATATAATGATCAACATTTACAGACAGGCAATTCTGTGCTTGAACAATCTGTATTATTGACATACATCACCTGTTCCCTGCACTACCTTCAGAACACATCTTTGATGGGATTTTAACCAAATTTTTATCTGGAGCATCCTCGAAGTTCCAGGGGTTTATGCTCACTTTAAATTCTCTGCACCCCTGAAATATGTCAGGGCAAAATCGAAGGCATGCAGTTAGCTATGTGATTAGTTTCAGGTGAAGAAACCTGACAAATCAATCGCTAGCCTGATAACTGTCCTTTGAAGATTACAAAGGAGCAACACCCAACTTCAAAAACAGTCAATTTTACCTTACACTACCTTGTGATTCTTTTGATGTACATCAACTAATAGGATCAAATGGTCTGCTTTTATCATCCACAAGATGATGGCTATACATACATAGAGCAGCCTTCCATTTCATCATGATATATACCAGGGGTGCAGATCAGGAAAGTGAGCATAACCCCTGGAATTCGGAGCATTCTTAAACCACGAGAACTCAGTGTGTATAAACAGAGAGTGTGCCCCCTCTGTGGGTAGAGGGGTGAGGCCAAATAAAGGAAATATAGCAAATTTTCTGTACAGGAAGGGTTGTTCTCCATGGTACTATTTGAATATTATTGTAACATTTATATTAATGAGATTATTTTGCAGTGAAGTGCTTAAATATCCAAGCGACTGATACAGGCCCGCTAGGTAACTTGTTTAGGAATATACAGTACAACCTCAAAATGAAGCTTGGTCATTCATTTGATATACTTTAGATCACTTTATTTTTGGAAGAGACTGATTTCACAGGAACAATTATTCACTAATTGCATTAATTCATAAGGTCATTTATTCATGAATTTTACTTTTCCACAAATGTTATTACTATCAATATTGAAATAGCATCCTCTCACAGTTTGCAATAAAATACATATAAGGTGATTTATAGTAAGGGGCACAGAACTATTAGAACTTTCTAGGGAAGAGAACCATTCATACCTGGCTTCATCAGTACCTTCTTTGTTTTACAGGGTATTTATGTCACCTATATTCACGAGGGTGGGCCCGCTGCCAGGTGCGGACTTCAGGTTCATGACAAAATTTTACAGGTAAGTTCAGTTTTCAAATGTGATTTGTTCTTCAGAGATATCTTTAACACATTTTTCTTATACATTTTAGGGTATAAACCAATTCTTTGTTTATTTCTCAATGCTAGCTTGTACCTTTTTTTTTTGAAACAAACATCCAATTTTTTCATTAAGGAAGTTTTTGTACGGCTGATTTATTTTGTAGAACATTTATCGATTACCGATGCCTTATCAGATATTGATTTTGGAGTAGGTCGACAAACAATATGCTCCGTTGTACCGGGTATATAAATCCCCATCACTTGTTACTTGGGCCAGATTTTACTATTGTAACCCTATCCACCTGTCCACACAAATCCAGTGCTCTTACCAACCCTACAGTGTCTATAAATTTTGTTTTTGGCAATCTTTATCCTATTCACGTCCATTAAGTAGTGCAAACCAATAGAGAATATGTCGGTGATAAGATTGGGTCAAATCTGATGTATAAGTACAGGAGGATTAACACGAGTTGAAATATGTTTGGAGATTTTTCCGTCTTTTAAGTCAAGTTTACTGGGTTGGTAAATTTTACCTGAAACCCTTATCCTTTCATGCTGATAGATTCATCTAGGTATGATACTATAAGGACAAAATGTTGCAGGTTTCAGTCCAGGTCAAATCCTAAGTAGCAGGACAGAAATAGTCCATCAATAGTGGACTTTACACTGGAATCGGTGTATTCTATGTCCAAATACATCTGATCAGAACCATGAAAGATAACATAAACTTGTACAAAATTATTAAATTCACATTTCATGTCTTTCTAAAATAAATAATTTGGTCATGTTTATGCTGTGATATTCTTAATATGCAAGCCATAGAATAAATGAAACCCGCGTTTATTCTTAATCTTAATATGCTGACCTCCTGCCCTGCCTTTATATTGAAATACTATTTATGCCCCACAAGATAGTAGAAGGGGGCATTAAGTCAACAAGTGTCTACCTTTTCTGCCTGGCTGTCTGTACATAATCTTTGTTAGAATTTCAGAGTTACAAAATTAAATATATGAATACATCTTAAGGATGTACACCTCTGAGAAGTCAAAAAATTCCTGTATTAAACTTTTTTTCTTATATTGATTTTTGGAAAAGGGAGATAATGACATAGTAGAAAATGCAAAAAAAACTATATGTCGGTGTGTTCGTTTTTGTGCTATGATCGGTCAAAGATACCAATTTAACACAATATGTGATTTTAGGTGAATTTTTGGGTTTTGACCATTTGCAGAACAAATTCATACAATTTCTTCCAAGTGTGTTATCAGATATGTATGAATGTTTGTAGAATTGATAAAAATATTATTTTCTTTGAAACTATGGAAGTTAAATGTCTTAAACTTATTTATTTTACTCAGAAATGCGATTTTAGTTACCCCTACCCCTTATTTTTTAATGAAAAAATGCACATTTTTCACCATTTTTTGCCGATTAAACGCTTGATATTAAAAAATCCTGTTATAAACTTTTTTTAGTATTCAATGAATCAAAAGAACATGTGTTTCTCTTTCTAAAACAGCCACAAAAATGGGGTGTCGGTGTGCTTCTTTTTTTGTCCCATTATTATTTGTGTTATTTTTCACCTTTTTCGGGGTCAAAAATCAAAAGTGCTTCAGTTACCCTAATATGTAAAAAAAATATCAATAATATATAACTTTCCACTTTTTTGCATATTATTTTAATCATATTGAACATTATAAAGTTGTACAGCAAAATTGAACCTGCTACAATTAAAAATGGTGACACAATGACAATTTAAGTGATCAATCTAGTGT